TCACTCACTTGAAAGGCAAGCATTTTTCTCCTAGTTGCCAGGGTCAGCGTGGCCACAGGTCCCTGTCACCCGAGGCAGGTGTGGATGCTGGATCCCGGCAGACAGCACACCTGGGACCCGACTCACCTGCGGCATCTACTTCCTGTAGACTGGCGTGCTGGCCGCTGTGTGGTCTGTGACAGCCAAGGTCGCCCACTCGGGGTGAGTTACTTGCCCTTGCTTTGTGGTCTGGGAGCCGGGAAAAAGCCCCCAGTTTTAGAATTGTGCCCGGTGAAGCCAGAGGCCTTCTGAGGGACCCGTCAGCCTTGAAGGGGCCACCCTGCCCCAGCCCAGCAAGGCCCTTTCTCAGGGTCCACCCTGGTCCCCCAAATGAGTCAGAATCCCAGGAATGAGACTGTGAGGATCTGAGTGTGTGGGGGTCAGTTTTCAGAGACAGGAAGTGCAGGGGTGGCAGGGGCCAGCAGACAAAGGGGGCAGGGCTGGGGGGGCAGAGCTGCTGGGCCCCGTGCCAGGGGGCCTCTCGGGGCCTGGAGGAACCCGCTGGGGCAGGGCAGGACCCTCTCCAAACTGCCCGGGAGCCCTGGGGGGTGGGGGCCGGGGTTTGGACTAGAGGAGGAGCGGAGGAGACCCCGGGGGGCGGGTCTGGCGGACAGTCGGGGGGCAGCGCTGAGTGTCCTGCTCTGTGCCCTCCGCCCCGGCGGTGCAGGTGTGGGCCGAGGCCACCCCACCCCACACGATCCTGAGAGGCTGCTCCCCTGGCTTCATCCCAAACAGAAACACTCGCTGGAAGAGTGTTTACCCGGCAGCTCGTCTTAGCAGAAACTCAATACCAACTTCCATGATCTTTTTAATTTATAAAGAGACTAAATCAGAACTTTTTCTTCTTTATTGCAAGCAGATTCAGGTCTCCTGCCTAGATATTCTGCAGAAAAGTCCAATCATAATTAATGTTATGAAGATATACTTTATCTACAGAAATAAAAAACAGTAGCATACAAAATAAATTTTACAGAAATTTAAGATTTGGTTTAATTCACCATTTAATTTTTCAAAGCAGATTAATAAATTATCAATTAAACATTACTGTTCAGAGGTTGATTTATTATCTTAAACACACCTACTATATTCAATAATTTAAAAATAAATTCCAGTATTTATGATGACAATACCTATAGATACATTTGTGTTAAATATATTTTCGAAGATTCTCTTTTATCACATTACATAATGAATGAACATTTTAAACAGCAATGCAGACGCACATAATTTTAAGTCAGAGACAATATATGCATATTAAAATTCTGTATATTTTGATAAGGTAAAAAATAAAGCTATATAAACTGATCTTTAGATTTTTTCTGCAAAAGTAGAATCACACTTTAATAATGCTCCGACACATCTTCATTAAAGCTTTGTTTATAGACATCAAAATGATTCTCACCCCCATTCACCTACCCTTTAACTTATTAAAAAAAAAAACAGAATGAATGCATTTGCCAGATGACATTTTTCCTGTTTTTAAAGTTAGAAATGGGAAACTTCCAAAAGAAAGTGCATACCAAGCTGTTACACTGAGTTGTTAAATAAATACCATTAATTAAGATAAGCAGAAGTGGTTGTATTAGGTTATTCATAATCAGTGCAAAACAGATGAACTTAGTGGTTTTAAAGAAAAAGGCCGGAAACTTCCCTTAGGTTGCCCTGAACTTTTGGTTGATGCCCATGAATTTAAGAATAGTTAAACTGTGTGCGAGGCATTGCTGTGTTCAAGCTGCAAAGTCTCACAAGGCTACTAGGCGGCTGCGACCTGTCGCTGCGGAAGCTCCGCCCCCAGCGAGCCTCTTGGGCCGCGCCTCTGGGGGTCGTTTGGTCTAGGTTGGGAGTTAAGGGCACGGGAATGGGCTGACTGGGGTTCTAACAGGAGTGGCCGAGAGGGCGTCTCCTCTCCCAGCCGGGATGTGGCCGCAGCTGGGAGGGTCTGGCGGTGGTCCCGAGGGCGGGTCTCCTCCGGTGGCGTGGCCGGAGCTACAGGGCCCACAGGCAGCTAGCTCAGGGGGATGGCGTGGGGGTCGGGAACCAGACATCCAGACCAACGGGGGAGATAACATGGTTATTGTGCAGCTGTAAGATTTTCAAAACTAAGGAAGATGCTTAAATTACTTGCTCTAAGGTCAGTTTAAGGCAAGTAAGCACTGCCCACCGCCAGGTGGGAGTCGCATTGTCTTGTCTGAAATGTCCCTTCCCTGGTTCCCCGTCCCTCCCTGGCTTCTGGTCTCAGGCCCCTGGTCCATCTCACATTTTCAGGCGCAGTCACTGAGGAACTTCCCAAACAATTTTAAGAAGACGTACTGGGGCGCGTAATGGTCAGTAACTGTCCTAAGGAGGCTTGAATTATCCGAGGTAAGTGATAACCGTCTGGATACAGGCAGAAAGGAGACAGCGAATCGTCAAGAAGCTCCTATTTTAAGGCTGAAGGATAGAAACTAAAAACTAAACAAAAAGCAGATGAAATTGCAATGAATGGTGAAGAAAGAGCAGAGCAAATGATCAGACTCTATGCCTTGTAACTACTCGCTACTGCCAAAACAGGTGCAGAGAATAAAGTCAAATCTGAAAATTCACATTCATCAGATATTGAGACATTCAGCCAAAACGTTCATCAGAATTTAAATGTAAAGTGGCCAAAATGTCTCCAACTTAAAAAATAAAAGCTTTAAAAACATACTTTAAAAATTAGATATGGTACGTTAACAAATAAAGGAATAAAAGAGATATAAACAGCTATGAAAATACTTCAGTGCAAAGGCAATTTTAAGATCTCTAAAAAAATACATTACAAAGAATTTGTTAACTAAACATACAGAGAATCTGCCCCCCACAGGTATGACATTTATACCCATTTTAGGCTCTTAAAAACGGCTGTAAAAACGCACACGCCGCTGTTTGCAGGGTCTAGTGTGGGCCACACGCAGGCCGCGGGCGTGAGGAGCAGCGAGAGGGGCGGGCCCTCGGGACGACGCCCCCACCCCGGCCTCGCCCCGCTCTTTGGTAAGCGTGTGTTGCCTGCTTCCTCTGCGCCACTTGGGTGCCCTGTTCCTGCGGTCAGCTCCTCCCCTCGTTCAGATCAGGCTCACAGGTGAGCACTACGCCAGCGAACCACGCGGTCTGGGCGACGCGGGGCGGACCCCGGCGGGCTCAGCACCCGGCCTCGGTCCGCAGGGCATCCAGCGGGGGCAGCGCTTACTTCCGGGTGACCCTCCCCTAAAACGCCGTCAGTGTACCTTCTGAAGTTTGGACCTCAAACTGAAATGTTTTCCTTACGGACCATTAAGGCTACGTCGAACGGTTATTTCTAGAAACGGAGATTCCGTTACAGGAGAGCGACAGGGTTTACCGCGCAGCTGCCTGCGGGCGGCGGCATTGCTCTTGGGTTTCCCGGGGCGCCCCGGCGACCCTGAGCCCGGCGCGGAAATGGGGGCCCACGCGCCCGAGGCCGCTCCCCGTGGGGGTCTGAGCACCGCAGCAGAGGCCGGCCCCCGGCACCTAGACCCCACGCGTCCCCGCAAACCCCGAAACACCCTTCCCACAACAGCAAACCGCGCCTGCGCCCTCGGAGCGGGAAGGGGCACCTCTCAGAACCTGTGCTTTACCGGCCAGGCCCCCCTAGAGGCAGCGGGGGACAGAGCGGGGCTCACCGAGCACGCGGGCAGCACCTCCCCCCGAGGGGCGGGGTCGGGCCACACTCGCCCTGCGGTCAGCGTCACCACGCGCAGGTATGGACGGCAGCCGTGGACCGGGCGGGGGGCCGGTCCTGGGGTGTCCGCGGGCCGCTTCGAAAGCAGAGGTGCTGGGCTTGGGAGGACGGAGCAGACCGGACCCCCGCCTGCGAGGCTTGGCCATGCTCCCCGGAGGTCCTGGTGTGGTGGCCGTGCCTGGAGCGGACCGAGACCCCCGAGCAGAAGTCCTCCCGTCGCCACGGGGCCGGGGAGGGTAGCGGGCTCGTGCGTGTCCTTCCCGGTCGCCACTCGGGGACGCCTGTCCCGTCTTCCTGCTCCCCCGGCCGCAAGAGCAGCACACGCCACGCGGCCCTTCGCAGCGGGACCCTTGCATGTGGCCGCTCCTGGGGCCGAGGGTGGGAGAGACGGAGCAGGAGGGGCCCCGCGTTCCCTGCCTTCCAGGGCGCTGCCCGGGGCTGGAGACTACAGAGAAGCAAGTGGGTAACTCCCCAGAGGTGGTCCTGACACGGAGCGCGAGGTCTGCGGAAACAGAAAGGACAGAGTCAGTCCCGGGACCCTGCGCGGACCGCGTCCAACGCCCGTCGGAACCCAGCGCAGCCGCGGCCCTCGCTGCCCTGGCAGGGGCGCCCCCGAGCATAGCTGGGCCAAACACGGGGCGGCGTGTGAACCATCCGTCCCCTCCTCGCGTCCAGAGTCCCGAAGAAGGTGTGTAAACACGAGGCCCCTCCCCGTGCCCCAGGCTGAGTGCGGCTCCTCCCACCGCGCATCTCGCTGGACCGCTCCGGCCGCGGAGGCCCAGGTGGTCAGACTGGATGGGCAGGGAGGGGGAAGCCGGCCCGGAGATGCCCGCTCTGGATGCTGAAGGCGCAGCTGGACGCCTGCCCCGGCCTGGCTCAGATCCCCTTGTTTATTCCAAAAGGGGGTCTCTCCGGGAGGACCTCTCAGGTGGAGCCACGCCCACCACCGCGGATGAGAATGAAGGCCGTGTTTCGGGAGCCGAAGGACGCTGTGGGCCTGCGCACCGCACAGGTGTGTGTGCACGCACGCTCGCACGCGTGCCTGGGTGTGCACCGCAGGCAGCCCCAGGCGGCCGGCCTCTCCGGTGGGCCACTTACCGGGGACGGACCCCACGTGTGGGCAAGTCTCTGCCACCGTGAACCTAACAAACGGCACCGCACGGCGCAGCTCTGGAGGAAACCCGCGCGGTCCACAAGTGAGCACAGCACACGGGCTGCCCGCGGGCGGCCGTTACCTATCCTCTGGCTACTCGCGCCTCGGCCGGGGCTCGCGGTCCGTCAGCAGCGGCCGGTCGGGGCTCGGCGCGGCGTCGGCCGGGGCTGGGCGGCTCGGGCTCCTCTGCAAGGCGAGGACAGACACTGAGCCCGCGCCGCATGCCCGGCTCCGCGGGGATGCCGAGGGGTACGCGTGCGGGGAGGCCCGGCTCTCAGCGCAAGAGCGGTGATGGTCGGGGCGCGGGGCCCGGGGCTGACGGCCCTGCCACTCACCCCGACCGTCCGGAAAGGGCATTGCTCCTGAGGGCACGCAGGCCCCAGCGAGGAGCTCTGCACCGGCCACTCTGTCTGCCTGTCCCTCTGTCTGCACCTGCCTGTCCGTCTGCCTGTCCCTCTGTCTGCACCTGCCTGTCCGTCTGTTCCTGCCTGTCCCTGTGTGCCTGTTTGTTCTCCTGCCTGTCCACCTGCCTTCCTGTCCCCTGTCTGCCTGTCCGCCTGCCTGTCCGTCTGTTCCTGCCTGTCTCTGTCTGCCTGTCTGCCCCTCTATCTGCACCTGCCTGTCTCTGTCTGTCAGCCTGCCTTCCTGTCCCTCTGTATGTATCTGCCTGTCCATCTGTTCCTGCCTGTCCCTGTCTGTCTGTCTGCCTGTCCCTGTCTGCACCTGCCTCTCCCTGCGTCCCTGTCTACCCGCCTGCCTGTCTGTCCCTCTGTCCCTGTGTGCCTGCCTGGCCCTGTCCCTTGGCCCCATCTCCAGTCAAACAAAAGAATCCTGGCCTGAAGCTAGAATCCGGGGGTTGGGGCGTGGCAGGGCCGCAGCCAGCGGGTTGGGCGTTTCTAGTCCGAACACTGAGGCTTTGTAGTCAAGTGGCAGGAGTTTCTCAGTGCCTCGGAAGAAGGCAGCTGCAGGAGCTGGAGAAGCGCAGGGTGGAGGTGCAGGTGCCCTGGCTAGGCGCGAGGGGCAGAGGGCGAGGCAAAGCAGACTAGCGCGGGCGGTGGCTCTTTTCGGGAAGCACACACAGCTGTGCGTGCACACGGGTGTGGACAGAATACACGCACATGTATATATAGATGCCATACATGTGTACGCACACACCCATGTTTACATGTGAGACCTGGTGGCCTCTGTGGTTATCATTTTAACTGGACAGATGAAAAGAAAAAGCCACCCATCTCAAATGCAGCATGTTCCATGGAAGCACTAGCCAAGGGTTTGTTCCTCCAAAGGTTTGCCGAAATTGTCTGGTTTTGCAGCAGCACCGCATGGACCCCATGTGAGTTGAGCAGTGGCTCCAGGCACCCCTGGCACACCTTGCCGCCACAGCCGCGGCCACGGACACACGGAGCTCAGAGCCCTGCGCCAAGCAGCAGAGTCTGGCTTCTGCAAAGGCTCAGAAGCAAACCAGCTCTCAATACACCCCATCAATTGTCAGACGATTTATTTTTAGCCCAGAGTTGGCATGATTTAACCGGTTTCACAAGCACCTCCTGTGACTTATTAAAATGTTCCTAATAATTTCATCCTAAATGTTTTCAAGTGCATAAACATAATATTATGTAGTTTATTCTAATAAATTCTGATGCACCAGATTAGAAAAATTTTGATTGCCACTAATTACTTGAACTTAAAAGATGAACAATTATTAAAAGAAAAAAAAGGCCTTTTTTTTTTCTTTGCTTTAGGCATTTTCCTATTAAGCAAGCTGCCTGGTAAAGCAGTAATGTGTGCCCAGTATGGGGACACACAAGTGGGGCATCAGGACACAGATGACTGAGAACAGATAAGTGTGTCCTTGAAGCCTTGGCTCCAGGTGAGAAGCCTCCATCCTGGGCAGCGGCCACAAAAAACGGTGTGACGTGACCGCTCAGTGCCCCTGAGAGAGCCACAGATGCTGTTTAAGGCACAGGTGGAGTCTGTTTCTAAAAACAATCAGATATTTTTACAAAGATAAGAGGGACTTTGGTGAGACAGTTGGCCCCAAACACACCTGTCCCATCCACAGGCCAGGGGCCCGGCCTGAAGCTGCCTCTCCCCGGGCTGTGGTCCCGCCAGTCCTGTGGGCCCCACGAGGGACAGGGAGGACTGCCTCTGGGCTCTAGGGCAAGGCCGGCGCTGACCCAGGAGCGGCCCCTGCCGCGCGGAGACAGGACCGGCCTCACGGCTGCCACCCGGCCAGGGAGGCCAGCGCGGCTGCGTGGGTGGAGATGGCCGGCGCCCGAGGCCCCGGAGGGCCTGTGTGTGCGACTCCCGAGCTTAACCGTCAGCCCTCTGTGGTCCTCCGATCAAGTCCCAAACATGCAGAAAGACAGAAAAGCGTCACCTTGTTCCGTTAGAAAGTCAGACTGCTGGAAGTCTGAGAAAGCATAAAGACGGTGGGCTGCTCGACAGAAAGGCACTGGTTCCTAGTCTGCCGGTCCCAGAGGTCAGAGGTCAGAAGTCAGGAGGCCATGCACATCGTTAAACAAGATTTGGGCAAAGAGGCCGGAAGATGAAAGGAACCAGGGAGGGAAGAGACAAGAAAAGCCAGTGAGTTGGGGGCCGTGCCCGGAGTCCCTGCGGCCACAGGAGACGTGGGCACGGTGGCCCCTGAGGTCCAGCCCAGCCTGGTGGAAACCTCCCGTGTGCTCCCGCGGGCCCTTCCCTGGGATGGCCTGAGATCACGGAGCAGCTCTTGTGAAGTTGCTGGTCGGGGGCGGCTCTAAGCCCTCTGTGCCCCCTGGTTGGGCACCCCGGGCAGCATCTGAGATCAGCCCCGGGGGTCTGAGAGCTCGCCCACCTGACCAGTCACCTCTGGGGGCGGCCAGTGCGGTGACGGATGCTCTACCCCACAGCCGGCCGCAGCGGTTGAGGACTAAGACCAGAGGGCCCTGCGTTCCCCAAAGGGGCTCAGTCCCAGGATGGGGGGCGGTGCCCTCGCCTGCGGTCACCTGCCCTCCTGTCACTCACACCTGCACGCCCCGCCCTCCTGTCACTCACACCTGCATTAGCACCTGGTGCTGCAGGTGGGCCAGGCATCCTGCAGGACGGCCTGCTTCAGCCTCTGCCTCTCAGAGCATCCCTCCTCCTCCCCGAGAGTGCACAGCAGGACAGGGGGGAAGGGTGCGGGGAGAGGGGTGCTGGGTCACAGAGTGGAGGGGTGCGGGATCACGGGGGGAGGGGTCACATGGGGGAGGGAGTGTGGGGTCACAGGGGGAGGGGGTTCAGGATGAGGGGGTATAGGGTCACAGGGGTGAAGGGTGTGGGGTCACAGGGGGAGAGGGTGTGTGGGGTGAGGGGGTGAAGGGTCACAGGCGTGAGTAGGTGTGGGATCACAGGGGAGAGGGTGTGTGGGTGAGGGGGTGAGGAGGTGAGGGGGTCACAGGGGTAAAGAGGTGGGGGATGTCCGCTCCCCGAGAGCTCTCTAGAAGCTCCAGGTCACATCTCTGNCGGGGCCACTGGACAACATCTGTATGAACACGTAGTACATCCTTTGATAACTGAGGAAGGGCCTGCAGTATCCAGGGAAAGAAAAGCACAGCATGATGGCCAATGAGGAGCCGGCGGAGACCCCCGAGTCCCGCACAGAGGGCCGTCTGCCCTGGGGGGTCCACGTCCATCTCTGACGGTCACGGTCCACCCGCTGCTCTCACCACCAGGTCACCAGGGGGGCGCCCCCCCACAGCGCTGTGTGACTTTGCCCTGAAGGCTGGTTAGCGTGCGTGAGAAAAGGAGGGCGGAGTCTGTGAGGTCATTCCAAGGGGGGAACAAGCCCCAGAAGTTCAGCTTCAGAACAGCAGGAAAGACTTTTAAACATGAAACAGGGGGTTTTGCTCAATACCTATTAATAAAGAGAAGATCGTGTTCTCATCAGCAGAATGGCTAAACACAAGCTTATGCCAAAATAATTTTTTAAAATTTCTATAAAACTACAGAGAATGAAATGACTTCCCTGCCAGGTAGGCCAGGAATGCCTTTGGAGACGGGCAGTGAAGTGAAAGTAACAGTCAGTCCTGTCTGACTCTGTGTGACCCCATGGACTGTAACCCGCCTGGCTCCTCTGTCCATGGGATTCTCCAGGCAAGGATACTGGAGTGGGTAGCCATTCCCTTCTCCAGAGGATCTTCCCGACCCAGGAATCTAAACCTGGTTCTCCTGCATCGCAGGCAGATTCTTTACCGTCTGAGCCACCTGGGAAGCCTTAGAATTTGGCAGTGACCGCACTAAACTTGAGTCTCACAGCTTCACGCTCCGAAGTGTCCAGGCCCAGGAGCTTGCCAGGAGGTTTCTGGGGAGGCTTTCTCTTACACAGCCGCTTGGAAAGCTCACTGGAGCCACAGGGATCTCTGGCCAGGAGTGGGGTGGCCAAAAATCCACCAAGAGCTGGTCTGGCTTTCCCGACATGCAATGCGTGGACTGGCCACCAGGGGTCGGCAATGGAGCAGCCGCAGGGTGGACTGGCGTCCACGCAGCAGCGTCCACGCAGGAACCAGATGGACCAGGGGCCTCTCCCAGGGCTGGGGGCTGCCTGCCCTTCCCCTCAAGCCCTGCTCAGTAGTGGGGAGGCCAGGTGGCCGGGACACTGCTTCTGGCCTCAGGTCTGGGCGGGCCTGGGGCCTGGCTCACTGCCCCAGCGGCAGCCCCGCTCAGGATGTGCTGTGCCTCACAGGTGGGGTGGGGGGGGGATCACAGGAGCCCCTGCCCGTGTGTGACAGGTGGGAACAAGCGCCCAGGGGCCAGGCGGACATGCCCGCCTGTGACGTGACCCGGGGGAAGGGCTGAGGGGCGTGGCGGGCCCCAGGGCTGTGAGGGATGAGGAGGAGCTCCCAGGCTGGCCACTTAGAGGGGACGCCCCGGGCAGAAGGGACGGCGCAGGCGCCCCGGGCAGAAGGGACGGTGCGGGCGGAGGTGCGCTTGTGGCCAACGCAGCCGCTGCCCGTCAGGACTGACCACCGTGTCCGTCTCTGTCCACCCCCAGGCGCACGTTCAGCCGGCAACACGGGGACCTGGGCTCTGCGGCGCCCCCGTTTAAAGTCTTCCATGGCATCCTAACGGTCTCCGGGGGAGCCTTCCTGCCGGGCCTGCCTCGGGGCCCTTGAGTGCAGGGCTCCCTTCCTTAGGAACGACTCTGCCTCAGCCCAGGGCCAGCGGCCCAGAGCACGCACAGGACGAGGTCAGTGCTTTTTCCCAAGTTTCTGTTTAAATAACAGCTTTTCTGGAGAAGCCGTCCCCGACCTCTGATCGGTCCCTTCCTGGAGGGTTTGGTCTGTTCGTCCCCCGACTCACTCATGATGCAGCATGTCTCCCTCACTGAGAACCTGGGGGAGGGGGCAGAGACCACCCCGCCTCGTCCCCGCGGGCCCCTGGGCCCTGGCGTGAAGCCCTCCTGCACACAGCGGGCACGCTGCCTGCACCCGCACACGGGAACGCGGTGGTATGGAACGTGAGTTTTCAGGCCTCGGTGAAAGACACTGCAGGACCAGTGCTGTAACGGTGACTGAAAAATCATCAAGTCCGTACCAGATGACGCCTCCCCAGAGGAGGGAAAAGACGACATAGAACAGCAGCGACCCCCAGATGACAAAGTGGTTTATCCAGGTCCAGTAGTGGGTGTCCAGAGCCAGCTGAGGACAGACAAGGCGGTTAGCAGCGGGGCCACTCACGCGTGTCGGCGTGGGCCCGGGGAGGGGAGCTGGGGGGAGCAGGAAGCAGAAACGAAGCCCTAACTTCAGCCAGAGCGTCTATAGGGGGCTGTGCGGGAGAAACGCACCTGCCTTCCAGAGGACGGCTCCCCAGGCCCACCCTGCCCGAAAGTGCCCAGATCCCGGGGTGGGCACGCCGCCTGCTGGAGACGCCACTCCCCAGCACAGGCTCTGGGACTTCTGCCTCACTCTCTGACCCAGGCTGGTAGGATTTGGGACCTTTGTGAAGATAGGCCGCGAAGAGTCTGACTTGACTTTAAAAACGAGCTCAGCTTCCCACAATACATTCATCTGTTTTGGTTAAACGGTGCTTTGACTATAATGGGGGCTGCTTGCCACGTAGAAGCAGTCTAATTCCAGTCCTTTCACAGAAAAGGCTGTGGAATTTCCCTCCTCCCCTGCTGTGTGTTTCTGAGCTCGCCCCTCGGGGCCGAGGACACGGTAGCAGCGGGGTGGGGACCCTGGGGTCACCGGGCGGCTGACCGTGCCTGGAGGAAGCACATGCGCTCAGGGATGGTACCTTCAGGGTGACTGTGAACACCATTGCCGTGAACACCAGGGTCCCAAACGTCCAGTTTCCAAACACCTGTGGAGAGAAAGTCCAGTCACCTCTTGTTAACACAGACTGCCTCTTTCACACTCAACACAAGTGCCTGAGCACCCCACCCACCCACCGCCGACTCGTCCAGCCCGAGATGCGGGGACCTCCTGGTGTCACCGCAATGGGGGTGGGCCGCACCCAGGCCCCCGGCCCCCGGCTCCAGCAGTGTCTGTGGGCACCCAGTCCTCCCTGCAGGCCGCCTCGAGCCTCCCCCTCGGTGCCCCACGAGCCAGACGGGACACCGGGAGCTGGCGTCTCGGTGGGCACGGCACCCACTCTACTCCTCCGGCCCGTGTTTCGTGCAGACGAGACCTTCAGCCCATCGCCCCACCCAACTCACTCTGCATGGCCGAAGCGAGCCTTAGGGGAGTGCGTCTGTCCTCTTTCCAACTCACAGCCCTGGGTTGGAGGGTCCGGACAACAGACCATGGTGGCACCCTCCTGGGGTGGCATCACCAGGGGGGCCCGTGGGACTCACAGAAGGGGAGTGGGGGAGACAGGACGGAACTGCACGGAGGCCAGGGCGGGCCCGCGGCCGGAGCCCTGGACACAGAGCACGGCCCCTCACGGCCCCAGAGAGACGCGGCTCGGCCCACGGGAAGCGCGCACGTCATTCCGGGAGACAACGCGGTTCCGGTCCACAGACACAGACACAAGCAGGAGGAAACACGGGACACGGAGAGTCTATCCTGGGGACAAACCAGCCTCTGGGACGTGATACTTCACAGGAGCTGGCTGACCCAATTCTGGCTTCTCAGATCTGTGAGCTGGGCCTCTCAGAAAGAGCTCCTACTCTGCTTTGAGCAAACCCAGAGCCGCAAGCCACAAGGCAGGAGAAGCTGGAACCGTGGTTAGTCCTCAACCAAAGAAACATCCCTGCAGGCAGCTCACTTCAGGTGAGTGTGTGTGTGGCCAGTCTGTGATATGTTTAGTGAGACAGAATCTGCTTAGAGAATATTCTAGAAGAAAAACCGAAGCATTTGGACTTTTGTAGGAAACGGACCTAAGGCCCCTCATCACTTGATTCTTCACTTCATCATCGTGATCAAAACTGGGCTCAGTGGCTCTCGCCACAGGGGCGTCTGTCCCGAGCTGGGGGCCACCTGCCATGTCTGGGGACATTGGTGGACGGGGGTCACTGGCCTCCAGCAGGCAGGCGCCGGGGGTCTGGATGGCACCCCACGGTGACGTGCCCAGGCCGGGATCCGCCCAAAGCAACGCTCTGTGTTCAAGGCTTAACGCTGGGGGCAGGAAGCCAGGTCAGGCGGGCCGCGCTGGGCACGCCCAGCAGGTGCAGGAGGACGTGGCGCCTGTGTCCTTTCCCCTGAAGCTGCCGTTTTCAGCCAAAAGCAGAGAGGCGGCAGCTCTGAACCCCCCGGGACCCTCAGCTGGGTGGGCAGGAGCCCCGGGGCTGGCCATCTGCCTCCTTACGCCCCAGGCCCCCGAGTCTGCCACCCCTGCTGGGCGGGAACCCCAAGATTCCTTAAAACATCAGAGAACAGCATGCGTGGGCCTGGGGACAATGCGGGGTGCGGCCGTCCTGGCTCACGGGGACGCGGCCACGTAACGCTCCAGGAGCTCCTCCAGGCTTCCTTACCTGCAGGAGAGCCCGGGCTGAGATACTGAAACCGTCCACCCTCGTTTCTACGCTCTTTAGCGGGGGCTTCACTGGGGTCCAAGCCCCTCTCTCAAAGGGTCGTCTGAGGAGGGGACTCTTCCCAAGTGAGGTCAGTTCCCCAGTCCCCAGTGACGCCCTACGTCTGGTCTGATTTCCGACAGTAACATTGTGTCCCTGTGGGGAGCATCACACGGGGTGACACTGTCATCACACGGGGGGTCCCCGTGGGGGCTCCAGGACCACCGGGGCCGTGTGGGAGGATAAGGGGGGCGGCTCTGGCCCCCGCAGCCCCCACAAGCGGTCCCGGTTTAATCTCTCCTCTTCACACTCTTTTTCCTCTGAGACTGAGCACTCTGCAGGGAATTTCCCAGACTGATTCAGTTCTTACAGATAAGACGATTCCACGACAGCACATCCTGTGTTTCCTGAAGGTCGCAGTCGCAGGAACGTCTGTCACACTCGGAGGAGCGTTTTATCACACGCACAGGACCGTCTGTCACACTTGCAGGGCCGTCTACTAAACGTCTATCACGCTCCCTTCACGTGCAAACTCGGACCCGTGTGGAGCCTCGGGTAGCCCTGTGTTCAGCCTGCCAGGCAGGGCAGGAGGCCGGCTCTCGGAACTTCCTGGCTTCTATTACTGCCCATCTGCCCAGGAATGCCCCGCTGTTCAACTGCAGTCACATCACTGTCTTCTCCTCTCATCTGCAAGACAGCGTGGCTCTTGTCTGTGAGGAAAGGACTCCAAACTTGAACTTCTGTCTCAAAGGTCGTCACCAATTCTATCGTCCTTTCGACAGATCCACGAACATTCCCGAGTCGACAGAGGTCTCAGCGGTCACCTCCTGACCGTCCCACCAGCAAGAGGTGGGCCCCTTGGAAGGGTGGCTGCAAGGCTGCCGTCACGGAGCACCCGCTGCCCGAGACTGAAGGCGCCACCGGCCACCCGAGGCTGTGCTGGACTCACAGCTCGTCTGCAGCTTGGTTTGAATGACACAGAACCAGCTGATAACATGTTCTCAGTTCTGTGAGCCAGCCAACACTCCCACCCGCCGGACACACAGGAATCATCTAAGAGTCAGCAGTCTGGAAGAAGACGCCACGTCTGGGTCCTGAGTCCGACCACGGACGCCGTGGGCACTCAGCCCTGGGCCTCTGCGTTCCTGGGGACACAGGCCCGCCCTGGGCCGGCGGGCATTGCGCTGCTTAGCACTGGTCTCGCTCTCATGCCTCTGAGTCTTTAGGTTGCTCACGGTCCCAAGCACCTGGGACCCGAGGCCCAGCTGTGGACCAATGCTCGCGTCCAGCACTTTGCTTTGCAGGACTGTCCTGCCGGCTGCTTGCTGACACTACTGGGAGTCTCGGGAGCGTCTCCCGTGACAGGCAGTGCATGACCCGTGCGGGTTCTGTCCCCTGGGGCCTCAGAGCTCGGGGTCCCTGACGACTGGGGGCCTCTCTACCTCCGTCTCCCTTCCTGTCATCATTCCAGGTTCTAACCAACACTTTTGTCCAAGATCAGCCGAGCAAAGGTACTCAGCTTCAAGGTGCGGGGGAAGGTGCTTAAGAATCTCAGGAAAGACCCTCTGGACGCTGGGATCCAGGTCCTGGAGTGGCTCAGCGCACCCTCGGGAGAGAGAGGCAGAGAAATAGGAACCAGCAGAAGCCCTGGCTCACAGGAAGGACCTCAAAACCACGCGGGCCGGTACCTCTGACCACAGAGCAGCCAGGCGACACGTGGCCCCCGCCCAGGTCTGCATGCGAGGCTGCCCAGCGACCCACATCCATGTCCAGGGTGTGTGTCCTGCCCACACACACACACCCACCATCTGTGGGCTTGAGGGGCAGGGCTCATGTCACCTCCTGGCGTGAGAGCCGGGCTCTTCAGCAGGCTCGTGGACTAAACACGCACCCGGGCTTGCTCTAACTCCCCACCATCACCCCCTGTCTGCCTGAGCATCCGTCTCCTCGACTTTAACTCCAGGAAACCGTCCAGCTGGAGGGGCGATGGCAGGGGGCGAGGGTGATGCCCGGAACCGGGACCTCGGTGCTCGGGACACGGAGTCTGAGCTCTGCAAGATGCACACGGGTACGTGCTCATTGCTGGACCCGGGGAGAGCCCCGTGAAGACGCGAAGAGATGGAGACAGTGCGAGTCAGCCCCCCCACCGCTGGCGGCACCCGAGAGCCACTCAGCTAAAAGTCTCTAAAAATGGGAAGATTTCCGAAAATTCCAGTAAGGCTCTGAAAAACCCTCAATTTAGTAAACGCTGGCTTAAGTTACAATGAGAGACAACAGCCCTTTTCAGCCACGAGAAAAAAGAAACAGAGAAATTGATGGGCAAACAAGTTGCCCGGGACACACAGCAAGACTCAGAACTTCAGGCCAAACACGCAGAGGCAGAGATGGGCAGAGAGAGGCGCCCCATCCATCAGGATGAGCAGGCGACCCCTGCTCAAAGCCCCGTTCTGCTTTGTTGACCCCGGGACACTGGATTGGAAGCAGGACGCCCAGGGCCGCGGCCTCCTGACTCTCCAGGCAGCGAGGGGCCGGCCACGGTCAGAGCATCCCCCACCCCACCCCGGCTGCGCCCGCCTGTGCCCCTTCCTACTTATTTAGGGCAAGGGAAGACCACACAGACCCAGTCAAACGTCGTTGACACGGCGGGCGATCCTGGCACGGAAATCCAGGGATGGCTGCCAGCAAAAGCGACCCAGGTGGGCACACACGCTCTCTGGGCCGACCTTGCTCCTACGGACACGGGGGGGCTGGCTAACAGCATTTCTACTGACAAAGCACACAGGGGGGGTCACACTGGAAAATATTTTCGAGAAATATTTTATTCGGAATGCACTCCAGAAACACAGAGGACACGCTCACAGATGTCTTACCATGTGCGTGTTGGTGGTCGCTATCTGAGAGTGGGGAGGAAGTGCGGCAGAGGAGAAAAGAAGATACAAATAAAACACCCCCAGAGACTGTGCGGGGCCCAGAGAGCTGAGTGTCTATCGGAAGCTACACATCGCTAAGGAAACGGAACATAAGCTAAGGACGTGAACAGATGCTACAGGGGGTTAAATACCAAAATATTTCCCAAATTAAATAAGCCATGTCTGGATGACCGAGTTGGACCCCTAGATAAATGACTGACGGTGAACTATAAGCTATAAAGGTTGGACCCGCCTGCCCCGAGAAGGGTGTCCCTGCAGCCGGCAGAGCCCCGCCGTTGGGTCCGCTCCACCTGCGGCAGACACCCAGACGCCGACCCCGCCGGCCGTGCCAAGCCTGGGCCGTCCCGAGCTTCACCCCAGAACCCGCAGCCCTGTCACTGCGGCCCAGCCCCACACGAACCTGCCCGTTGCTGGTCACAGTCGTGTTTTCAAACATGAAGTAAGCACCGAAGAAAAACACCAGCGCGTCGAACAAGCCTAAGAGCGTCCAGTAGATGAACACGCGCCAGTGCAGGAGCGCGTTCTTGGCGATGTCCCTGAGGGAGCAGAGGTGGGGACACGTGAGCGTCCGGGGGGCCCGGACCCACTGAGGGCCCCGAGACAGCAGGGCCAGGGGCCGGGCGGCGGCAGGAGGGCGAGGCCCGACCGACACCCGCTCGGCCGAGCTCCAGAGGGGGCCTGGGGCAGCCCGACCACGTCCACGGCCTCCCGGTCCCCGCCCGTCTGTCCCGCTGTCAGCAGACCCCGTCTCTGCCCGCCCGCTGACCGGCACGCGCTGTGAGCCCGCGGGCTTCCCGGTCCCCGCCCGTCTGTCCTCACGGCCTCCCGGTCCCCGCCCGTCTGTCCAGCTGTCAGCAGACCCCGTCTCCGCCCGCCCGCTGACCGGCACGCGCTGTGAGCCCACAGGCTTCCCGGTCCCCGCCCGTCTGTCCAGCCGTCAGCAGACCCCGTCTCTGCCTGCCCGCTGACCAGCACGCGCTGTGAGCCCGCAGGCTTCCCGGTCCCCGCCCGTCTGTCCAGCTGTCAGCAGACCCTGTCTCTGCCTGCCCGCTGACCAGCGCGCGCTGTGAGCCCACGGGCTTCCCGGTCCCTGCCCGTCTGTCCAGCTGTCAGCAGACCCCTGTTCCCCCCCACCCACTGACCAGCACACACCGTGAGCTGCGGAGCTGAGGGGGGTGCAGGTGGGCCTGAGGCCTGCACACGTGCTCAGGCCACACGTCACACTGCCTGCCACTGCTCTCAAGACCACACCTGGCCCCGGGAAAGCCTTGGGGCGGCTCACAGCACGCAGCTGTCCTAGCTGAAGCCACCAAGGTCGGATCACGGAGCACGGGGCGACCGTGCAGTGTGACGGGAAGGTCCCAGCTGACACAGGAGCGGCCAGCAGACACTCGCTTGCGCTCGCTGGCAGCACAGGCAAGCTGCTTTTCAGACGTACTCCCCAGGGACCGTCCTGGACCATCCCTGTTAGGACGCTTTATTCCTCAGAGTGGACTGGGAGACCCCCACGGGCAGAATGAGGGTGGGGTCCACACTCCTGTTTCCAGAAGTAAGGACACAGGGTGTGAGGCACCGTGGCACCCGCCAGGGACGATGCGGGAGGGGAGCTGTGTGGTGTCGGGACCCAGGTGTGACCTGTCCTGTGCTTCCGCAGGTCAGTCAGATGTCCTCACGGGGGACTCCGGATAAAACCTCCAGGGAGCCACTCTACTATTTCTTACAACCACATGCTGAGTGGCTCAGTTGCGTCCAACCCTTTGCAACCCCATGGACTGTAGCCCACCAGGCTCCTCTGTCCGTGGGATTCTCCAGGCAAGGACACTGAGTGGGTTGCCATGCCCTCCTCCAGGGGATCTTCCTGACCCAGGGATGGAACCCAGGTCTCCTGCTTTGCAGGCGGATTCTTTACCACTGAGCCACCGGGAAGCCACAACCACATGTGCGTCTAAAATGTTCTGGAAATAACATGTCTGATTTAAAAAGCCACAATAATGGCAGCACACTGTGTGGCCAGAGATTCTGGGGTGCAGTTCTAAAATAGCAGAAGAATCTTTTCCTTGTTATAAGAAAGACTTCTCAGCAGAAGAGTGCACCCTGAGATCAGCTCTGTTAACTTTCTTTCTCCCTGAATGGAACCTACTTGACTCTGCCAGGATCCACCAGGGCCGGGGGGGTGGACACTGTCACCCCAAGTTCTTTCACAAGGATCACAGGGAAACACAAACTGGCTTAACGTCCTCGTTTCAAATGCAGCGTGAACCCTAAGTTTGGAGATTCACTTAAGCCACACTGCCTCCCGTGTGAAGTGAAGAACCTTCTGGGGAAGCGTGTGTGTCGGCTAACTTTGGATGGTCTGGGGTTTTTTTTTTTTGTTTGTTTGTTTCTGGTCTTTAAGTACTTCCACCAGGCATGATCTGCAGGTGCCCGGTCCTTTTCGGCATCCACGGCGCGGAGCCCTCGGTACCTGTAGAGGGCAGGGTCCCTCTTGAGCGTGTCCGTGGCAACGTGCTGCTCCATCAGGCTGTACAGCAGGATGGGGAGGGAGGTGAAGCTGATGTTGTAGAGAGTCAGGTAGGCAGTGTCATACAGAGTCTGCAGGGCCGAGACGCGCGTGAGAACAGCGCCCCGGCACCTCGGTGAGGTTTTCGGGGAATCTGTTTAAACGTGCACATGTATTTTTCCTCTGGAGAGGCCCACAAACTCGAGAATTCTCAAATGCACACAGAGCCACTCTTCTATAGAGACTGAGGGGCCAGGATGTTTTTCAAAGCATCATGATGTTAGCTGGTCAGGATAAACATCATGGCTGACTCCCGCCCCCACCCCGGTCCTGCCACTGCAAACTTGCAGCAACAAAAAGCTGCGTGAAAGTTTGCAATTCGATCGCCATCTTCAGGCTTCAGTTTTCTCCAGTCTGGCTGCTTCAGGTGAAAGCAGGTCAGTAGTGGGATGGAGGTCACCTGGCCTGCACGCCCCACCGTCCACCCTCCGCCCACCACAGACACACTCGGGGAGAGCGGGTGAGACTCAGGGGAGCTCAACCTCAGGCCTGACGACTCACCTGCTGTGAAAATCCACAGAAGAACTGGTATAAAAACTGAGGGAAAATGAAGCAGACATTCTGAAAGATAAGCCACATGCCTGTTAGTTCAAGGGCACAGTGTAAGGGGTGTCACTGGGTTCCTAAGAGGCTGGCCTGAGACACACTCCATCCCGGCAAAGTGTCCCTCATCCTCCAAGATGGGCAACAACTCTAAAACTCCTCTCTCACTTCAGGGGCCCCCATGGTGCAGCTGGGACCAGGCCGGTCTCCCCGAGATCAGAGCAAAGGGGAACTCCTAACAGAAATGAGGAGGCACCTTGGGTGTCAGCATAGACAGGGAAGAATCAAACTGCATAATGAAGGAAGAACTAGTTCAAGGAAGGTGAAAGAACGGCCCTTCCTCAACCTATTACAGTGTGGCTCCCGATGGTTCTACATTCAGTTCTGAGAGAAGAGGGATGGGCGCCTCCTCCTGGGAATCCTCCCATGGACCCCTTCCTTCCACTTGAGGACAAGTCACCCCCATAGCCTCGGGGCATCACGGCCGGCCTTCCATCCAACCCATTACACACCCCGAGACGGTGAGACGAGCAGAGAGCCTTCCTACCTTATAAAAGAAGTATTGCACAAGCTCGGATATTCGAATATAGTAAAAATGCCCGTGAACAAGCAGCATCTTCTTTAAATGCTTAAACTTGGGTATTGCGTAGTCACTGTTCCTTGCAGCCTGACGACCTTCCTTCCCAATGACGCCTACAAGAGGGAGCGCACGCGCCCAATCAGCCCTCCTCTGCCCTCGAAGGTGGACACGGGGACCAGCAAAGCGGGGTTAGACTGAGCCGTTACTGTGGGCTTCCAGCCCTGAACGCTCTGCGTCACAGGCGTGCCCTAAACGTGCGTCTGAATCCTATGGTCCTGCCTTTTCTGTGTCCCCCTGGGTCCGGCTGAGGGACAAACCCTGGTCACTGTGAGGGGCAGGGGGTTTGAGCCCAGGGGCTTACCGATGCCAACGTGGGCCTCCAGGATCATGCTGACATCATTTGCGCCATCGCCGATCGCCAAGGTGATAGGGTGCTCTTTCGACAACTTGATTAACTTAACAATCTGGAAAAGAAGTGAATGAAGACTTTGTCATCTCTGTTTTATTTTTGCAAAAGTCATCCACTAACTAGGCAGAAATGACAAAGACGTCAAAGTTTGTCAAGGAAAATGAAACAACTGTTTAGAGTGAATTATTTATTATATGCAGTGCATTTTATCCATACAGGATAAAGTCTTTTTCATGTTAAAAGCGAAACACACTTAAGCAGAAGCAGCTGAGAAATGATCGCAGTGAGATGAGCTGAGCAGGCTGAGGGGGAGGCTGAGGACAGAGACAAGAAACCCATGGACCCATTTTCAGGGGCTGCCCCACTCACTTAAATGTGGGGGAGACAGATTTAAATACAGGTGGGGGCAGTGTGTGAACGCTGCACTCCGTTAGAAGATGGTGCTATGCCAAGTTGCCTTGTATCAAGCATCTATTTTTTAAAATAAGCTGTTCTTTCAACTTTCAAATTTGTCATGTGTGCAAAACCAAATCTGACAGCTCAATGCAATAATTTCCAAATTTTTAGTCTGTTTCTTTACAGTCTTTTTCCCCCCTATTTATGTGTATAAGTATAATGTTCCATGATGCAAGACAGAAGAGATGAGGGAAAAACTATGGCTTGTCTTCTTGATTCAAGGCTGAAACACTAATTGGTATCAAAGTTTGAGAAGTCACTTAAGAACCCAAAAGGTAACATGTGAAGACAAAACAGTACCCTTTGTTCCAGTCCGGACATCACTACACAAGGTTGGATGCAGCTCGAGGGCACGCCTGGGCCGACGGCAGCCCCGACCCCAGCACGCCTGAGCCTCCTGCAGCCCTGCCCCCCAGCATGCCTGAGCCTCCTGCAGCCCCGACCCCAGCACACCTGGGCCTCCCTCAGCCCCGCCCCCAGCACGCCTGAGCCTCCTGCAGCCCCGCCCCCAGCACGCCTGGGCCCCCTGCAGCCCCGCCCCCAGCACGCCTGGGCCTCCCTCAGCCCCGCCCCAAGCACACTTGGGCCTCCTGCAGCCCCGCCCCCAGCACACCTGAGCCTCCTGCAGCCCCGACCCCAGCACACCTGGGCCCCCTCCAGCCCTGCCCCCCAGCATGCCTGAGCCTTCTGCAGCCCCGCCCCCAGCACGCCTGGGCCCCCTGCAGCCCCGCCCCCAGCACACCTGGGCCTTCTGCAGCGGGGCCATCCTGCAGCAGAGCACGGCGCTGCAGTTCCGGCAGATGTCCAGGAACAACTCGCGGTAGTTGCTGGAGCTCCCATCCTCCCGAGGCTTCATGATCAAGGACAGCGCGGCTCCGTCGATGATTAAACCGTAGTCCTGCATGTCGGCGGAGAGTCTGTCAGGTCACAGAAACCAGAAATGTCTCTCAGTAACCAAGTCCAGAGATTCAAGGAGACTGGCTACTCCGGGGGATACCTATCAATGCTACAAATTCAGGAACAAGGATTAAGAAAGTGGGTTTTCTTGTTTTGTCAATAATAAGACAGTCTAGACTCGTGGCTGCAAGACCTTTGACTACATTTTAAAATTAAATGTGAACTTAATGTTTTCATTTCACTGGGGCAAAGTAAACAACCATTATAACTGTGGATTCCTGGGCAGCCTGCAGTACAACAGCAGGAGAGCATCTACCCTGCCATCCGAAGAGATGGGCCTCTCCTCCCGACCCCCATGCCACCTCAGCCCCGCAGTCCTGACGGCCGCTGGTAACTCCTTGCTACTCTACCTGTCTTGGGAAGAACGTGGTCATGATACTTCTCTTTGCTGGGTTTCAAAATTACAAGGAACATCTCTAAGCCCCCAAAAGAATTCTGCAGACCAGGTAAATGGCAATAGCTTTGTACTATTTATGAATGAATAATTTTAAATTCGTATATGACTAGAGAGCCCCCTTTGCTTTTCCTAAGGTAACGAAAATTTAAGTTCAAATGAAGTCTAATCTCAGATTGTGCATCTAAGACCAGCAAGGACAACGTTAATAAAATGTGAATTAATTGGTGAACATTCTTGGAAAAAACAACTCTTGGGTATACACCGTTTTATCTTACTTGACAAACGACCATGTGTCATTGTCCCCCCACCCCTACTCATAGTGCAGCCCCCAAGTGTCGCAGAAATTGGTGGGCACAATGTTGTGTAAATCAAGGAATCAAGCCTCTCTGTATCCTTTGTCAGCAGTCTGCAAGTGAACATGGGCGCGCACACACATACTCTCTACGCAAAAAGACACATCACAGCTGCTGAAAAGACAAGGCTCTGGTCTGGATCCCGACCACGAGATGCTGGCAGAGGCCAGAGGACAGAACCGTGTCTGCCCAGGGGAGTGCGGGCCACCGCCCTGCCCGTGGAGGCCACCCCGCCGCCGCCCGCGGCCCGGACGCCCGCCTACCCCGAGAAGCTGTCCCGGGTGAGGCTGGCGCTGCAGCGCAGCACTGTCTTGCTCAGCTCGAAGAGCACGTCGTGCAGGGTCTGCTCCTCCAGCCGCTTGGTGGTGACCTCGAGCAGCTGCGTGCCCCTGCGGAAGAGCTTGCAGGCGTAGCAGGCGGCGGCCGCCGTCTCCATCTTGTCGCCCGTGAGCACCCACACCTTGATGCCCGCCTTCTGCAGCGCCTCGATGGTATCAGCCGCCTTCTCCTGCAGCCTAGGCAGGGGGCACGACACACCTTCATCAGCACGGACCAGAAAACCAAGCCGGAGAAGTCCAAGGACTTGGGGTCTGCTACCCCGTCTTCATTTTCACCCCCAAGTTAAAAAGCACCCTGGTGCTGACCTGTGATTTACTGTAAAGGACCTGGAGCTATTCCCAGGCAGCTCAGATGGCGAAGAATCTGCCTGCAACACCCCAGGTTCAACCCCTGGGTCAGGAAGATCCCCTGGAGAAGGAAACAGCTAGCCACTCAGGTATCCTTGCCTGGAGAATCCCATGGACAGAGGACCCTGGCAGGCTACAGTCCACGGGGTTGCAAAGAATTGGATATGACTGAGCAACTAGCACTTTGACTTTCACTTTTCACATTAGCTTTTTACAACAAAACGCTTCCTGATACCAGATAATCCATGGGGATGAATATTAAGGAGCAAAATGGCATCTGCCAAGCACACGATTCTCTGTCTGGCTAGACTTGCTGCTCACAGAAGATTCTGGGCAATTATAAGGAGGACCCTCAGAAACACCAACCGAGAAAAGTCAGAACCAGGAAACAGGGCCTGGCAAAGAGGGGACGCCCACCCCCTTTCTGAGAAAAGTCAGAACCAGGAAACAGGGCCTGGCAAAGAGGGGACGCTCACCCCCTTTCTGAGAAAAGTCAGAACCAGGAAACAGGGCCTGGCAAAGAGGGGACGCTCACCCCCTTTTCTTTGCACATAAAATGTCCTAGTTTTCCCTCCTGTCCAACTGGAGCCGAGGTTCCCCTGAAGAACGTGAAACAGGAGGAGGCCAGCCGTGCCCTGGACCGGCTGGCTGGCGTCACAGGCTTCCTCGGCGTCAGACGCTGCAGGAAGCACTTGTCTGAGATGTGTTGCCTTTGCCGAAAGCTCACAGGAGGAGGACTGAGTGACGACCCTGTTCTACACGTGGAGAAGGCAAAGCTTGCAGAGTTCACACAACGTGCATGAGGATAAACGGCCCTCTTGACCTTGGTCAGGCTGTCCCGCCATCCATGGAAGTCTGGCATCAAAGCCGTGCCCGCCTCACGGTGGAGGCTGGGCGGGGGGAAGGGAGGGCTGCCCTGTCTTCTAGGTCTTAGAGGCCTAGCTGTTGACAGGTGTGTATCCAGGATGTGTCCTGTTTCTGTTCAGTGCCGAGAGGAAGGAAAGAAAAGTATTCTAACTGGGATGATCTGGTTAGAACCTGGGGGAAACTTCCTACTATTCTAGACATAGAAAAAAAATATCTGTGATTTCGTCAGAGGCATCTGTAAAGGTGCTGGCTAGAGATTTTAGAAAACTGACTCGTGGTCAAATAGAACCACTTCAAAGCCACCCCCTCCCAGGTCCCGGGGGTCTGCTCTCAACGTCCTGAGGTCCCAGCTCCCCACTGAGGCCAACAGCTCCCACGGCCCTTGAGAGACCCTCAGCTAGCGAGGGTCCCTCCGCCCATGAGAGCCTCCCCCTTCCCCCTACTTCTTCCAAGGACCAGTCCCCCTCCCCNCCCACTGAGGCCAACAGCTCCCACGGCCCTTGAGAGACCCTCAGCTAGCGAGGGTCCCTCCGCCCATGAGAGCCTCCCCCTTCCCCCTACTTCTTCCAAGGACCAGTCCCCCTCCCCAGACAAGCAGCCCCCTCCTGAACACCCTCCTTCTCCTCACACACGACCCGTCACCAAGCTGTCCTATGACCGCAGCTGCTCTGTGCTGAGACGTGCTTCCAGGAGCAGAGGGGTCAGGACTTAAAATAAGAACAAAACCAGCCTGTCGGCCAACTGTCTGCTGAGACCGAGGACCCGGGGAATGCCGACCCCCAGGAAAAACAGAGGTCTTGAGATCAGGATCTGAATCCTGGACCAATACAGACCTTCAAGACTTTTACACTGAGGGGCTTCCCTGGTGGTCCAGTGGTTAAGAATCCGCCTGGTAATGCAGGGGACAACGGTTCAATCCCTGGTCCAGGAAGATCCCACGTACTGTGGAGCAGCTAGGCCCATACACAGTGACTAAGCCTGTGCTCGAGAGCCCAGGAGCCGCGACCACCGAAGGCCCGGCGCCTCCAGCCTGCGCTCCGCAGCCAGAGAACGCCGTCGCAGCGAGACCCCACTCGCTGTAGCCAGAGAACGCCGTCTCAGCGAGACCCCACTCGCTGCAGCCAGAGAACGCCCTCGCAGCGAGACCCCACTCGCTGCAGCCAGAGAACGCCGTCGCAGCCAGCCACACGGCCCCGCACGGCAAGGATAAGTCAGTGTTGGATAAACACATACTCTCACACTTGGTGGGAAACAACGCTCAGTAATTTCGTGACGTTGCTGTTCCACTCTTCTAGGCTGGGACATATTTTTTTCTTTTCTTCAAAATAAACTATAAGCTATCCCTTTCACTGTGTGCTTCAGACGTCACAGTGGACAGAGGGCCCCTTCCTGTGCAGAATCGTGAAAATCTGTAGCTGGTAATCTGAGCAGCTATTATGGTGGGGTTTTGCAATCTTCTATTTCATTATTTTAAATTTCTTCAGCGAGTCATGGCAAAAACTGTTAAGGTCTAAAGTGTTTACACTTATATTTGGAAAGAGCTAGAGACTCATCTAGGAAGAGTGTTAGTTACTGACTCCATTCTAAAGAACTGAAAAACAGCCCTGTATCTCGACTGTTCATAACTAGGTGTGGAAATGCTGGCATTCCTGGTTTCTTCTGGCAAAATGTGACTTAACAGGCCTCTTACTGGTGGAAAGTCAGGGATCACCCAGGCCTGACCCCACCCAAGGCATCTGGAGAGCCCGCCCAGCCTGACGATGCCCCCGCGACCCTGGGCGGCCCCGCTCCCCCTTCACACCATCACGGTTTCTGAGAGCAAGCACAACGCGTCCTCACCGGTCCTCCACGGCTGTGGCGCCGAGCAGGATCAGGCCTGTTTCTATTTGCTCATAGGCTTCGGCTAATTTCTTATCCCGGTCCTGAAGCGCCACCTTGGCGGCCTGCAGCAGCTTGCAGATGCCTTCGTACTCTTCTGGGACGAGCCTCTTGTAGGCCACACACAAGGTCCGGAGCCCCTCCTGCAGGACACGCAGCAGCCCTGACCGTGAGCCCGAGCGTCACTCCCGGAAGCTCTCCCGACATCTGCTCTCCAGCTGAGGTGACAAAGTGGAGAACCAGAGACCCCCGCCCCAGTGCCAGTCACCTGTGGCTGAACTGCTCATGAGCACGTTAGATACACAGTCATGATCGGCTGTCAAGTGCTCCAACTAGTTAGCGTGGGAACACAGAACACAAACCAGGGCCATCGAAAGATAAGACTTTATAATAAAAGATAAGAGGTTAATAATCCAGAGTTGTCCCAGAATGTAGAATTGGAGTGAACGGTCAGCAGAAGCTTTAGAAATAAATAAAACCTTGTTTGTCAAGGCAGATATGGGACTTCCCCTCGTGGAAACATGGAGTAGAAATGCTTTTCTCTATTCCTCCTGCTAAGTACTAATAAAACCATAGACACTGTATATAAAATGATATTGATACACAAAACCAGACAGACATATTACAAGGAAAAAAAATTACAGTCACGAGCTCTCACAAACATAGACGCAAAGGTCTTCAACAGAATGTCCGTAAGCTGAATCCAACAGCATATCCAAATGATCATTCACATGACCAAGTGGCATCTATCCTAGGAATGCAAGGCTGATTCAACATATGAAAATCAATGTAATATATGACACAAATAGAAAAAGGAGGAAAAACTCATATGATGACTCAACAGATGCAAAAAAACCCAAACCCCAGCATCTGACAAACCCCAACCCCTTTGCACGATTCTTGTTATTTTTCAGTCACTCAGTCGTGTCCGACTCTGTGACCCGATGGACTGCAGCACACCAGGTTTCCTGTCCTTCACTATCTCCCGAGTTTGCTCAAACTCATGTCTACTGAGTTGGTGATATCGTTCAACCATCTCATCCTCTGTTGTCCCCTTCTCCTGATTAAACCACTCAATAAACTAGGAGGAAAGGAACTTCCTCAACCTTATAAAAGCCACACATGGAAACTCAGCCAGCGTCATAGTCAGTCAGGAAAGAGTCAAAGTTATTTCCCCTAAGGTCAAGGACAAGATAAGGATGACTGCTTTCCCACTTCTATTCAACATGGTGCTGGAAGTCTTAACTAAAGCAAATAGGCAAGAAAAAAAAGGCATCCAGGTTGGAAGGGAAGAAATAAACTTACCTCTGTTCTCAGATGATAGGATCTTATACGTAGAAAACTCAAAGGATTTCATACACAAAAATGTTGGAACTAATAATAGACATCTCAGTAAAGGTGCAGAATACAAAGCCAGCATACAAAAACAGCTGCATATTCTATACACTAACTATCCAAAAAGAAAACAATCTAAAAAGGAAATTGAGAAAACAATTCCATTTATAATAGCATCAAAAAGAATAAAATACCTAAGAATGAGTTAAACCATGGAGGTGGGTGAAGAATTCATAGACCGAAAACTATAATACGATGCTGAAAGAAGTCATGGAAGACCTAAGCGGATGGAAGATGTCCTGTGTTTATGAATTCCAAGACAATATTCCCATGATGACCACACTATCCAACATGAACTACAGATTCTGTGCAACCCTGATAAGAATCCCAATGGCATTTTGTGGGAATGGGAAAACTCGCCCTAAAATTCACATGGAACCTCAAGGGACTCAGAATAAACAACAATCTTATAAAAGAAGAACAAGGCTTAAAGATAGACTCACGGTTCCTGGTTTCAAAAGTCACGGGAAAGAGTTAAGTAACCAAAACAGTGTGGTCTTAGCATAAAGACAGGCAGAGACCAACAGAACAGACCTGGGAGCCCAAAAGGGAAAACCTGCATATGTGGCTGCGTGACTTTTTACAAGGATGCCAAGGCTGTCCAACAGGGCAAGAATAGTCTTGTTCAACCAACGGTGCTGAGACAAAGCTCTGATGACCTAAGAACAGACTGAGTACTTGCTTCAGGTGAAATGTGGAAGAAAACCAAACAGATGAAGTCACAACACACAGCGCCAGTCCCTAGAAATCCTCCGGAGGAAGATCTCCTCTCTCCAACAGCGTCATACTGTGCTTGCCATTCTGGACAACACACCCCTCTCCAGCCACCAAACGCCAGTGGAAGGCTGCGGGGGGCGGTGCCCCCCTGGAGAGGATGCAGCTGGGCCCCCCGCAGTGCGCCCTCCTGCCGCCCAGCAAGAGGGCCCCCCACCCCCTCCACGGGAGAAGAGACAACAGGACCCCCCATTCCCCAGCATCTCACCACCGCGTTGCGCTCCACTCTGGATTGGATCTGGTCCACTTTGCCTTCTATCACTCGGGGAAATATGGAAGAATCTGCTCCTTTGCAAAACAGGTAAATTTCTCCTAGAAAACGAGGTGAGAAGACTTTCATTGACTCACGCTATGGGGAAGACAGAGATATCTTTCAAATGATGCTTTTATTTAAAAACAAAACCAGGTGGATAAGGAAGCTGTGGTACATATACACCATGGAATATTACTCAGCCGTTAAAAAGAATTCATTTGAATCAGTTCTAATGAGATGGATGAAACTGGAGCCCATTATACAGAGTGAAGTAAGCCAGAAAGATAAAGACCATTACAGTATACTAACACATATATATGGAATTTAGAAAGATGGTAATGATAACCCTATATGCAAAACAGAAAAAGAGACACAGATGTACAGAACAGACTTTTGGACTCTGTGGGAGAAGGCGAGGGTGGGATGTTTCGAAAGAACAACATGTATATTATCTAGGGTGAAACAGATCACCAGCCCAGGTTGGATGCATGAGACAAGTGCTCAGGCCTGGTGCACTGGGAAGACCCAGAGGGATCGGGTGGAGAGGGAGGTGGGAGGGGGGATCGGGATGGGGAATACATGGATCTCCATGGCTGATTCATGTCAATGTATGACAAAACCCACTGCAATGTTGTGAAGTAATTAGCCTCCAACTAATAAAAATAAATGGAAAACAAAACAAAACAAAACCAGGGGCACCAGTGCCGAGGCTGTTGTGGAAATGTCGACGGACCAGTTAACCTGTGAAGCCGGGAACGCCAAAGCCACAGACTCCCGCCCCTGCAAAGCCTCATCTTATTCCAACATCACCAGCATCTCAGGGAAGTCGGGAAGAAGGACAGACACTGGCTCCAGGCAGCCTTCCTCCCGTCACCTCCACCAGCTCCCTGGCAGGGATGTGAGTGAGGGATAAACCACCACAGGACCGGGCTGGGGTTTGGGCGTAAGGACACATGGGTGTGGCCAACCCCAAATGGGCAGTGAGCTGCTGGGGCACCGGACGTGACCATCGGACCAGCCTGTGTGCACTAGAGTTACGAGACGCATCTGCGGTACTATCCTCCCCCACCTGCCGCCCCAGTCACTTCACACGTGTCAGTGCTGGGGGGCACACTCCTCGCCCCTCAAGCTGGAAGGTTCTCCCTTAGCCAGGTCAGGGTGGACGGGACACGGCATCCGCGCTGACCACAGGTTGCTGGCACCGGGGCTCCTGTTTTATGAGGAATATCCTGGCCTGCAAAGCACACAGCTCTGTTCGTGGAAACACCAAGGGGCTTGTCTCTGGAACCGGGGTCTCTTCCAAATTTGTCTTCAGACAGAAATCTCGAACGCCGAGGAGAAGCCTGCACTCTCAGCCCTTGACCCAGGACTCCTGGTCGTGCGCCCGCCAGCCTGGCACGGGATCCTTGTGGGCACCAGTTGTGGTTTCCATGCAATGCTCACACGTCACATGACACAGAACAAGTTCTCTGGTCCAGCCAACTCTGAATAGTGATGCAGCCTTGAACAGTAATTCTTTGTCCTAGGAAAATCCCAGAAGACTCACAGTAATGGCTTGTGAACGACTGAGATTTCCCCCCGTCCTGACCTGTCTTCCCTCTTTACCCGCTGGAGTGTGAGATGTGTTCAGCCTAAAGCTGCGGTCAAGCAGAGAACGTCCGGAGTGCAAGGCGACGTGTAAGGCCTAGAGAAGACAGTCCTGGGCAGCAGCTCTAGCTCCTGCTTCTCCGGGCTGGTAAAGGTCTGAGAGGTGATGCCTCCAGAGCAGTGCCCGCACACGGCACTGTGACTGACTGCGGTGCCTGGGCCCAGGCAGCGCCCGCGGCTGCAGCAGCTCCCAGGGCGGGCCACTGAGCCCCGGGCCGCAGGCCTCTGGCCTCCATCCTGCCCAGGAGGCCGTCACTCCGTGCAGCCGGTGCCAACGCCGGGGAGGAATCACTGCTTAGAGAACAGCTTCCTTAATTAACGGAGAAGGGGATGGCAACCCACTCCAGCGTTCTTGCCTGGAGAACTCCATGGACAGAGGAGCCTGGTGGGCTATAGTCCACGGGGTCACAAAGAGTCAGACACAACTGAGTGATTAACACTTTCACTTTCACACTTTCTTTAATTAAACAGTCAGCGTCTGTGGATTAACTGCTGCCGCGGTGGGCTCCGATGCCCTGGCCTCTCACATGAAGCCCCAAGAGGTGCCCCAGGAAATCTCCTCAAGGAAAGGACTTTCAACAGCTCAGTCGCTGAGGATGCAAGTCTTTCCCATGCCCCAGTGCCTGCTCCAGGCTCAGCCACGCTGTTCATGGCCGAAGTGGAGCTGTTTGTGAAGACTCCATATTCCAGCCCCGGGTACCAGGACGGAGCTCCGGGCAGTCCAGGAGAGCGTGCGGACAGGGCGGAGGATGGTGTCTGAGCAGCAGGGGTGTCACTTCCCGCCGCGGCGGTCATGACGGCCGGCTCACGGACTGTCCCCAACACGGTTCACCTCCTAGACCTCACATCTGTGCGGGGGAGTCACTGAACAAGAAGCCTGATGGTGTGAACTTCTGCAGCCGAACACCTTTGCCCTGGATAAGCCAAGCACTGCCCAGAGGCAGCGGAGGCAGCACGGGTGCCCGGGGACTCGTCTCCAAACACAATAGGCAGCGCGCTTCCCACGTCCCACCAACCCCGTGGCCATGAGCTACAGGATCATTGACATAAAGTGCTTGAGCTTTCACGGCGTCACTGGTGTGAGTCTTGTGGGTGGAGCCGTCACGTCTGACAACCCGGTTGGAGGGGAGGGAGCCCCATGGGTCAGAGAGCCAGCCCAGCTGGCCGTGTTCCCCAGGGTGTGGAGCGTGGTTCCCAGGGAGCGGCTGAAAGATGGGCTTCAGCACCCCCCGACGTCCCTACCAGCTCGGGAGACAGAGCAGGCACTTCTGGTCAACGCGGTGTGAGGACCATGTTGACGTGGAACCCTCCCACGTGCCCTCAGACCGTCTTCAGGCGGGCTCTGTTTATAGTTTCAGGGCAGCGTCTCCGTCTGCCTGCTTGCCGGGCAGGATTCCAGAGAGAAAAACATAAGCCTGGTATGGTCTAGTTTCAAGAAACAACAGAGAGTAAGATCCCACGTCGCTTGGTAAGATGCCACGGAAGCCGAGTCAGCAAGCGGCGTCCGGCAGCATTCGCCGAGCACTCAGCACTGCGGTGGCGGGAACGCTGCTGACCAGGTGTACCCCCCAATCAGGACGCTTGCGGCCCAGAGAGGATGGGAGCCCTCACAGCTCACTGGGCCGAGGAAACCACGAAGGCCTCCGACAGGTGGTCGAGGAGACGTCCTGGGAGAGGGTCTGAGGTGGAGAGCCCAGACCGGGGAGGGTCTGCGGGCGCGGATGGGGTGGGGGGCCCAGGACACAGGCTGCCTTGTGTCTAAACTGAGGGGCAGGTGAGGAGGCGCCCGGCAGATGGGTCACCAGACTGCCCCTCAAGGGAAAACCCAAGGATGCCTAAGCCAGCCTAAGATGCTGGGGCCTAAATAGGGCTGGAGGTGAACAGCCAGTGCGGGTTTCTCTGTGTTTAAAAGGGAGGACAAATGGTTAAATCCTAGAGCCCCACTGAGTTTAGGCGTCAGAATAAAGCACAGCCACAATGGATCATTTGACAAATCAAAGGGAAAGAAATTTCTACCTGTAGCAGACTTGACAATTACACTCATTCGCCTTCTTACTGAGTCGAAACTCAAAATTTCCAGCAACTCAAACCTGAAAGAGAGATTGAAAACTCATTTTGACGACCACCTGGCTCCGTGAGTCACCGCATCTGGGTGACGGCCAGCCTCCCTGCGGGTGACACGGCCCCTAGAGGAGCGGGTGGGTCGTCGGCCCGTCACGGCTGTGAGGCTGCCCGGCCGCACCAGGTGGTGATGGCCTGAGACGTGCTCTCGCCTGCCTGTCCAGCTGGGAAGCAGGAGCCGGACAGCAGCGTCACTGTCCTCCCCGGGGTCACACCAGGGCGCCCGGAGGCCCCCACGTTGCTTTGGGGAAGAGCCACGGCTGACCGTGGCTGGAGAACCCAGAACCCCTTCTGGAGTCAGGGGTTCACCACCTCCCCCACACCCTGGGAGTCTACTTTTCCAGAACAGAAATTTAAAATCCCGTTCTTTGAGACCATCGTCACCAAATGTTATATTCATTACCAACTGTGCCATCTCCGTAACAGCCCACTAGTGCTTATTTACCCAGGAGAGATGGACAACCCCACGGTCCAAGTCAAGTCAAAATCGAGACACACGTGTGTCTCTGGGACCAGCACTTTCAGGCTGGACAGTCCCTGAAGGGCGATGCGGAAAGCGAGACATCCGCTGTGCGTCTCCTGCTCAGCGCTTCTACAGGACCCCACCCTCCACGGCCTGGAACGGGCTCCGCGGACGCAGGATCCCGGGGCCGCTGCGGGGGGGAGGGCTCACGTCTTCCCTCTTGTGGGGATCAGAGCACGGCCCCGGGGTGTCAGAGCGGACGAGAAGGGTCCCGAGCTCCTGCAGTAAAACGGGCCCTGCATGGCATCACCCGAGCCTGTCGGACGGTCCACCACCACCCGACCTCTCCTCTAAGCGTCCGACTCAGACTCCGGGCGTTCTGGCGACGTTCTTGGGGTCGTTACCGAGAAGGGGGAGGAAGCATCATGGGAGGAGCAGAGACTTTGGTGTTTTCTCCGGTGAGAAAACGCTGGGAAGACAGCGCTACATTCCGCTCCCATCCGGTGGTGCCCTCACCTCTCCATGCCGCCGTCCCGGTTCAGCAGCTCCATGCAATTGTCCTTCAGCCTCAGGTACGTGAAGCCAAACCTGCGGGGCAGGCAGAGCCGGGGTTAGCGTGGACCTCTCTCCTCCCCGCACATATTTCTCTTTCACACTTTGGGAGAGCTCTCCTTTTGGAAAAGAAACGCTTCCAGTAAAACGGAGACTGTAGGCTGCATGGCGAAGTCAGTACTGCATTTATTCACTGTATCAAAACATTCTCCACGAGCCCAGGGAACTGGACTTGGGAATGGCCGCTCGGCGCCTCACACGTGATGAGCTGCTTCCTGCTGGTGGCTCTGGCGGGCAGCAGGTCTGCGGACTGGGCCCTGTCTCTACTATCAGGGCGGCCCTTCAGAAGTTGGTTATGCTGTCAGATTTAGGACGTGGGAGCCTGTCAATCTCCGGGCGGACGCTCGGTCTACTGACAAGGAAACCACAGCCCAGCTCAACACGGGGCCGCAGGGTGCTCGAGTCGTGACCTCCATCCAACACCGGCACGCGCGGGAGCTCTGCCCACGCCGGCCCAGCAACAGGCCAGAGGAAACGGGCCTGGCTTCTGGACGCAAGGAGCTTACGGGAGGTGGACACACGCTCGAGCGCCGCGGCAGCCTTGACAGTACGCAGACGCCGGGGCCTGCGGGTCAGGGCCCGCTGGCCTGGCGGGAGCTGGCTGCTGAAGGAGAGGCAGCTCGGGGGTGGTCCCTATGACTGAACGTGCCTCAGTGCCTGAACGCTCGTTTTCCAAGAAGACATAAACCTCGCTCGCTTTGAGAAATCTCCCCTGGGTATGTATGAATATGTATGCTGAATACACAACATACACACCTGATATCACTTTCAAATTGCAGGGGAAAAATGCAGCATTTAGTCCGTGACAAAAACATGGTTCCAATAGGCTAGAGGTGCCCGGTGTCCGCGCTCCGAGGGCAGTGAAGGGGGAGGTTAGTGCCTTCACTGATTTTTTAACTGAAGGGCCGTTGACTCAGACTATGGTGTGAGTTTCAGGCGTACAGCGGTGTGACTAGGTTCTTGCCACAGCTCATATTCTGCTGCAAGTTATTATGAGGTTCTGGGTTAGTCCCCTGTGCTCTGTCGCCAATCCCGCACCTTCGGAGTTAAATCAGGGTCATCGGTGATGAGAAAGGAAAGACCTGGAATTACGCAACTGGAGAGAAGTGTTTTCCCGAGTGTTTGCGTAGAGCCCCGTGTCATGAGGCAGCAACAACTCCCAGAAAGACCTGAAGGCGCTGGCAGGGCAGGACTCGGGGCGAACGGTGAGCAGCCCAGCGCCCAGCCAGCCCTTCCGCGCTGGGTGACTCTGCGGAGGTTGCTTGACCTCTCTGAGCATCAGCTTTCTAGGATGGATGAGGAAGACCTGTCACAGGGATTCGAAGACTGCATCTTAAAAAAGCCTGTGAGTGTTGCAATGCCTCTACTTACTGTAGAAGTTCGCAGGGAAAACTACCATCTAAGACAGCAGGAGGAACCCACATCCACTGCCGTGGGGATCAGAGCCCAGTCAGTGATCACCTGGCCCCCACCCTAGTGGAACGCACCGGGCCCAGGGGCCTGGTCAGGATGCTGCCAGGACGCGTCCATGGTGACAGTGGACAGTGCCCAGAACACCCCCGCTTCCAGGGCCAGAGTCGCCCGACACGCACCTCTGGATGCCCTCGACCAGGGCCACCTCATCGGGCGAGGACGAGATGTACACGGAGCGCTTCCCCGAGTCCGGCGACTTCCGGGGTCCGTCCACTTCATCGTCGTCCTTCACCTGGATGGTGTGGCACAGACAGAGGGCCCGGAAAAACAGCTCCTCCCGCTCCTGAAACACAGCACAGCCCACGGCTTTAAGCACGCCCNCGAGGGCAGGGAGCATGCCCACCTACCCGCCCACTGGTGCCCGGGGAGGCGTCGATCATGTCGATGGCGGAGGCGTCGGGGAGCACCTGGCCGTTGCAGACGGCGTGGGGCACGTACACGTGGCCCTCCACGCAGCACTCCTTGAACTCCATGTTGTTCTCGGTGAGGGTGCCCGTCTTGTCCGTGAACACGTACTCCACCTGCGGACACGGCTGTCTGCCAGGCTGCCCCCAAGGGGCTCGGGCCCCCCACGGCGCCACCCCTCCCCCAGCGAGCTCTGTGCAGGGCGGGTCCCGGCTGTCACCCCCACTCAGCAGGTCAAGACGGCGCAGAGCTCAGGCCCCCAGCTGGCAGCCGGGAGCAGCTCAGCGGGGGGCTGTGAACTCTTCACGCCAGAGACTGAAGCGCAGGCTCACTCTGCCCGCCCCGACAGTGATGACCGGGGGTCGCGAGGACTGAAAAGACGGCCGGGGGAACTGAGGGCTCATTGCCGATTCACCCCAGCTCAGGCCCTCAAAACCCGGGATCAGCCCTGCTTAGAAAGGCCACGGGTGAGCCAGTGTCGGCGAGTGAGCGGCGAGTCTGCCTAACTTGTCGACACAGAGGTACCCCCACCGTCACACGAGGACGGGGAAGCCGCTCTGCTGCCGTCTTTCGGGTGTCAGTCGTATCTGCTCAGGGATGGCAGCGTCCCCCTCTGAACACCCAGGGGGTCTGCCTGAAGGCTGAGAGTCACGTGGCCTCTGGAAGCCCGAGGATGCAGGTGTGAGGGGCTCCCCCACCAGCCAGAGAGAGAAGACCGCTCCGGAGATACCGACCTGCCCCAGCTCCTCGTTCAGGTCCGAGGTGTTGACCAGCGGCCCTTCCTCCATCTCTTCGTCAAACATCTCCTCGTCCCAGGTGATGAAGTAGGAGCCCAGGAACTTCTGCATCTCCACGGTGACGTACATGGACACGGGGATGATGTAGTTGAAGAGAACCATGAAGGCCAGGAAGTCCGTGAAGGCCCTGAGGAACTGAGACGGCGTGGCGCGGTCACGGCCAGCACTGCGAGCGCTGGACCTCAGCTCAGCAAGTGCTGCCTGTGAACACAGGCGCTTCAGGCCCGAAGGGGAAGGCCCCCTGGGGCCTCGGGGCGGTCTGCTCTCCTCTGCCCGCCCACGTCGGCGCCGAGGCTGGCCCCACACCTGTGCTGCTGGTGGGGGGCGGGGCGGGTCACCTGTGAGTCACACCTGGAGACAGCCCGGAGGACACCCAAGAGTGTGATTATTCTGTTTCCTCTGAGATTCTGGCAAATGACCAAGCTTAGGTCTGGACAAGCGGCTTTTCTGTCTATTTTGTCCTTATTTCTGAGCCATTTAGTCTCCTGGCAGGCTGTCCTGAGCACAGGAAAGAGGTAGGGGCCCAGGCTGGGATTTGCACATGGCTCAGGTAGACGCAGTAGGCCCGGCCAGAAAACGGTACCATTTTAAGCCAAGGAAGTGGAAGTGGAAGTGAGGTCACTTAGTCGTGTCTGACTCTGCGACCCCATGGACTGTGACCTATCAGGCTCCTCCGACCACAGGATTTTCCAGGCAAGGATGCTGGAGTGGGTGGCTGTTTCCTTCTCCAGGGGATCTTCCCGACCCAGGGATCGAACCCGGGTCTCCTGCATTGCTGCTGCTGCTGCTAAGTCGCTTCAGTCGTGTCCGACTCTGTGAGACCCCAGAGACGGCAGCCCACCAGGCTCCCCTGTCCCTGGGATTCTCCAGGCAAGAACACTGGAGTGGGTTGCCGTTTCCTTCTCCAGCGCATGAAAGTGAAAGTGAAGTCGTTCAGTCGTCTCCGACTCTTAGCGACCTCATGGACTGCAGCCTACAGGCTCCTCCGTCCATGGGATTTTCCAGGCAAGAGCACTGCAGTGGGGTGCCATGGCCTTCTCCGCTCCTGCATTGCAGGCAGACGCTTTACCATCTGATCCACTAGGGGAGCCCCTAAGTAGAGGAGATTTAACCAAATAAACATATTGGGACTTGCCTGGTGGCCCAGTGGTTTAGACTCCGTGCTCCCAATGTTTAAGGTTCGTCCTTATGAATTTAGGATGGAAGCCGATAACTTTCCAGACCTGAATATTCAAATACCCAAAGAAGGTGGAGCAACCAGTGCCTGCGCAGGGGGCGGGTGTAGCTGATTCTTTCCCTGTCGCCAGTGTGTCTACCACCAGCATCTCGTCATCCCGTGCCCCCAGGCGTCCACCGCGCCCGCTCGCAGGGTGCCTCCGCCGTACCAGGTTCCTCTGTCTCTCGGCCTCCGTCTTCTGGTTGTACCACGGCTCGTCCCGGAATGGCTCGCTCTGCCACACGTACTTCAGGACGGTGTTGATGAGCGCCTTGCTGATGAGGATGCACAGGTACACCACGAGGAACGCGTTCATCGATCTGGAACACGAGACGTCTTCGTGGAGACCGAGCGCCTGCTCCCCAGGGACCCCGAGCTGGGTGTCCGCCTTCTCACCAACGTGGGAACAAGCATGCGGCGAGCAGACGGGAACAACACGGCAAAGGTTTTAGAGGGGCCCCCGACCAATGTCACAGCGGAAAAGGCGAGCTCGTCTACATCTGAGTCCACTCGGCGCTGGCCTGCGTTTGGGGCCACAGGGACAGAGCTGGGGGCAGGGGGCCCTGGGGACAGGAGCGCAGCGCATGCCCGCCCTGCTCAGAGGGCGTCTGCATGGTCTCGGGCTCGTAATTCACAGAACACCCGGAAGTCAACGTCTTCTACCACGAAGCTCGGCCAGTGTGTTCCTAACCTGGAGGAGGCGGGAAGGAGGTAGCAAATGCCTTGTGTAGGAAAAGTGCTGAGTCCTTAGCCAGTGTCTTAGGAGCCTATGAAGGAAGTTTGATTTTCCAGTATCTATTTCTGAGACCTATTTGTCCATGCAGACATCTGGAAACTAAGCATCCTTCTTTAATAAGAACAGACGGCCCAACTCCACAGCTGATGCAGCCACAGGTGGGCAGAGACCCAGGATCCCACTTCAAGGTTGACTTGCCAACAGCAAACAAGGGTGCCCCAACAGTCACCCCCAAACTACTAAGGAGCCGGTATCTCTCTATTTCACAGCGTGAGGTCACTCGGCCGTCCATCTCAGGTTAGGGACGCACTATATTTTGTGAGGCAAAGATGCCACCTGGGTCACATTTTCTTACAAACTCAACTCTGTCATGACTTATCAAAAGGATTTTACTGTTTAATGAAGATTGCTGGCTCTGCTCACACTTTTCCTCAGTGAAACCACATCAGAAAAGCTACCTAATTTCAACTTTTTCACAGGAGGACCTGATGGGCATCCGCAGCTGACCGTGACCCAGGTGTCCGCACTCAGGTGGGAGTCTACGGATGTGGCTGGGGTGAAAGGCATCTACAGCCCCACGAAATGAGATAGTTGATCTAAGATCTAAATCATCACCCCAACCGTCTGTCAGACCTCAGGAAGGAGTTGCTGGTCAGACCAACAGGAGAACGATTTCACAACTGCCAGGGTTTGTGACAGTGGAAGTCACGGATTTTTTACATGATTCGGATAAGATTGGGCGCATTAGGTTGGTATGGCTATAGACTTTTCACGTGATTCAATGCATGGGATATACGAGCTTACTTTTCAACAGCAGAGCGCTTCTGGGACTTTGATTGATAGTTCAGTGCCATCTTGGTTTCCATGCCCGTGTAGATAGCAACACCTGTAAAGCAGAGGGCGGATGACGGGGCGACAGCACAGCTGAGTCTGTCGTCCCCTACACAGCGAGGCGCGTGCAGAGAGGCGCAAGTGCCTTCTGGACAAAACAGATCATACTTCACATTTTTCTAGGCCAGCTAGCTGTTCATAAAAAGTCATACAAGAAGATTCTTTAGACCAAAGACTTTTTTTTTCCCTGCATACATAGAGAGAAATCTGTACTTTTTTTAAAAAAAAGTTCAGATTTTAGTAATTTGGGTTTCCCAACAATAAGACACACTTGTGTATTAGTTGTTTCACTTAAAACATTAAATTAACCCACCGGGAACGGAAGCTACTAACAGAGGAACACAGCCATTGAAAGAACTTCCTGCAGAACCGTAGTGTGTGAGCTCTTTCATGGACATGACTGCATGTTTGAGTCACAAACTGGCATGTCCCTGCTGTGGACTGTGGCCATGCGTGGAGACTGGTTTTCTTATAGGACAATTTTCACCACCATAAATCCACAGCACCTCAAAGCACAAAGAGAAACTTTCAGGGTGCCTCCATGGATTGTAACTGCTTATGGGGCCCTTAGTTTTAGAAGCTATTATTAATAATTCACTAACTAAAATGTTTACCGAAGATTTTCTCAGTGTTCTTTAGCGTGGCTCCTCTAAGAAGCAGGTTTTCCGATCCTAATGGCCTGCAAAGAGAAGGATGACCAGAAACAGGACAATGGAGAAGCAGCTCACTGGCTCAACACTGCATTTCATGAGGAAACCATCTCAGTGTAGATCCGCTTCCATCAGGACCATGAACTCTAGCCGAGGCCCAGGAAAGGCAGGCGCTGTTTCCCTGGGGACAGTAGAACCGTCTGCTGGGAGATTCCCACAGAGTCAGCTCCATCAGGGCCCCAGTCCCACTGGGCAGCCCCCAAGGCTTTGACCCCACTCCACCAGAGACAGCGGGCCTCACCATCAGCAGCACCAGGGCCCCTCCCAGAAGTGCCACCCCACGGACCAGCCTGGAAACCCGCCCCAACAAGCTCACGTCCGAGGCGCCTGCGCTGGGGACGCCAAGTGGTGCCCGCACCTCGCTGAGCAGTTTCCAGCACATCCTGGGGGACTTGCACACACATTAACACAGTCTGGCTTTCAGAGAGGCGCTGGGGCCCAGGGAGGCACCCACAAGCATGCAGCCAAGCCCCAGGCCCTGGACGCAGCCGGCCTGTGGGTCTGCAGTGACCTGCGCGCTGCTGTGCCCAGGCAGACAGCGACAGAGAAAGTTAAAGACCATTCGTGTGAAAACAAGCACTCGGGACTCAACAGTGACCAACAGACAAACTCTCTGCCTTTAGGGGTTCGGGGGCCAGTGGTCCCCTCTTTTGACCGAGTAATCATTTCTTCTCATTTCCCAAGAGTAGAAAGGGAATAAGAAGCAGATTCAGATTCACTAACTTTGCCATTTACAATATTCTCCTGATTTTCTTCGGAGAGTAAAGGGGTTTGGGGTAAACGGAAACATTTGCTAAAGTTTGCTTTTCACTTAATCAGCATTTGACTTCCTTTCACCAAAGGAGGTGAGGACTTGCTCAATGTTATAAACTTAAATCCGTCCAGTGTACTCAGCCGACCGGCCCAGGACCACATCAGGGTGAAGAAAGAGGGACTGCCCAGCGGGGTGAGCTGGCTGGGACACCCTGACCCGAGGGGTCTGCCCAGGGCAGGCCGTGGTCTCAGGGCGTGGCCCCCAGCCCGACAGCCACGTGGGACGGGGCGCCCAGGTGCACACATGCTGTCCATTTCTGTTACAAGCACTGTCAGCAAACACAACAGCTCACGTCCAAGGCGTTTATGGAAACAAATGGCCCTTTAGACAGTGCCTCTGTGGAGTCTAAATAACTTACTTTAAAAAGTACTCTGCTCCTGGTTTGGACAGGAGCATGAACAAACGTCACTCAGAAAGGAGCCAGAACCTGGATATACAATTCATATCTGTCCACACCACAACTTGATAAACATCTTTAAACCTCCAAATATTAAAAGTCTGTTGACTTTAGTATAAATACTAAAAAAAGCTAAACTAGAATAAGTATCAAAATACAAACTATATTAGTAATTATCTCTCAAGGGACTCAGCCATCAACTTTGTACAAATATCAAATAAGGAAAACCTGCAGTGCTGACTTCTTCAGGGTCACCCACTGGTGCTATGGAGCCAGCTAAATCTATCCACCCACCTTCAAATATAAATTAATCCTCATGAGGCACAGGAATCCAGGTTGTTTCTCCTCACTAACCAGGCATTTACCTTTAGAACAATATGTATGTAAGAAAGGCCAAGGCAAGGCCTCCATAGGTTCTGGAAAGCACTTGCTAACCTGCTGATGAAGAATGGTGATAAAAATATGCTAAGAGGTGCCAACTGCTTCCTTAAAACAAGTAATTCCTGGAGCCTCTCAAGGAGAGAAACCCCACAACTACTTATTTGACATTAATTTCCATTTTCTTTTCTACTTCCGGGCCAGTGCTTTCTTTAATAAACATGGTAATACCAGGATACTGGCAATCTGGAAATGTTTGAATTGGAAGAAAAATAATCTCTGACCAGCAGAGTTTGTGGAAAAGGAGCGACTTCGAAGGCAGTCCCCTCAGTGTGGACCTCGCGTGAGTAGAACGCTCCCAGGCCTGGGAAGCGGAGGTGGCAGAGCCCACGCCCGGGCTGAGCGGGGTCTGAGGCCTGGGGGCTGTCAGCGCCCAGCCGCCGGCGGTCTGGGTGTGGACGCCCACGTGGGACCTGTGCTGGCCACTGCCCATCCCCTGCAGCAGGTTCCGCGTCCCTGGTGGGTGTGAACCGGGGACCGGCCCTCGGGAAGCACATCCCCGACGTCCAGGGCAAGAAGGTGCCCGGTGATGACCACGAGCAGATTCACGCAGCCGTTCTGACGGCCTCCAAGTCAGAAGCCATTCGGCCTCATAGTCTGCTCAGCTACGGAAGGTGTTTCTAATGGGGAACCGGACCCTCCCCATCACCTGCTCGGGGAGGGGGGCTCCTGCCCTGCCCGGCTGTGATGAGGCCCTCAGCAGACTCTTGGGAGAACATTCTCCATGGGGTCATTAGTTTGTTAACACGTCCAGACATATGCACTAGAGAAACCAGCCATGGGGCAGAGCCCAGACTCTGGTCAGGCAGGATCACCCCTCAAGCCCACTGGACAGTGATGAAGAACAGCCCTCATCAGGGAAAGAACCATGTTTAACTGAACAATAGAGATAAAACTTCCCAGCCTTCAGAAGAAGCTGAGAACTCACCTCACCACGGGGTCATTCTGATCGTTGTAAACATTTATGCGGCCAACGAACCTGGGGGCGGGAGGGTCAGGTCACTGCCGTGGCGATAGTAGGGCGGGGGGGGGGGGGGGNTCCTGGACCCCCCAACCGCCGTCTCTAAGAAGGGCTGAGGTCCTCCCGGGAACACAGGGGTGGGGGCTCAACCACACTCCCTCCCCGCCCCCGCTTTTACTTGCTCTAATTAGCCCATAACTTAAATGACATTCCTTAAAATCACTTCCTCAAAGCACAGAAAGTTCATTTTTCTTCAACACACTTAGTTCCATGAAGCCTTTCCATCTGCATAGAGAGCTACAGACTGGAAGGGGACCGGACTTCGGCGGTGATGCACACCCACCCCAACCAGCCAGGCCGGGCCTGGGGGCCGGGTGGGCGGGGACCCCGGGGTGGCGGGGGGAGGCTGGCTTACTTGTAGAGGTCGGGCTGGGGCTGCTCACACTCAATGGTTGCGTGGAGACTGTCGATGTCTTCCTCCGAGTGGAACCCCTTTGTGTCCTGAACCGCATAATGGGTCTGCAGACGGAAGGACATGAGTCACAGCCCCAACAAGCAACACACTCTCCCCACAGGGGGGACCCTGTCCTGGGGCAGCCCCAGTGATAAAGTGTTCGTGCACATAAATAAACCTGAGCACAAAGCCTGGGAACCGCACAGGACAGAGTGTGTGAGAGTCTGCAGACCTGAAATGGTTACAGGACTACAGGCACCACTGTGCATGATTCCTGCATCTAAGAGGTGCCAGCAAAGCCTTCCATCCCTAGCCAGTGTCCTCCACTAACCCAATTCTCCTCCAAAAGCAGACATTTGGGTTCATCTGTCCAGCCTAGCGGCCATGGCCCCAGCCCTGCCCCAGAGTTTCCGAGGCCGACGGTCTGGGTGGTGCCCAAGAACCACGTTTCTAAGCGGATCTCAGGGCTGCTGGTGCTGCTGGCCTGGGCCCCATTTGGCGAAGATGGGCCCTGAGGGCACCAGGAATGGTGGACAAGTAGGCCGGCCTTGGGAGGACGCCGTCTCCTCTGCACCCCTGACGAGTAAGCTCGGGCAAGCGTGTGAGGATTCAGAATGACGGGGGCGTGATTGCAGCATCCGGGTAACGTGTGAGGGCTCGGTGCATCCGGCACTGGGGAGCTTCTAACTGTCCTCACGAGAGGTCTGTCCACATCTGACGGACGGGAGAGCCCCTCAGATGTGACCAGTGCAGGCCCCCCGCTCTGCTCCTGAGGAGACGGCTCCGGTGCATCGAGCCCAGGAGCAAGGACACGCAGGCGTCTGCCGAGGGCCACGTGTGGACGGGTGTGGCTTCGCCCCGACCGCAGTGATACACGGACGCTCACGGCATCCGCTCCCGGGAAGGGTGGCCGCATCTGGGCAGGGACGTCCCCCTGCGGGTGGGGGTGCGGACAGCAGCCCACTGCCCGCGGTCGGGCGTGCACAGCTCGCCCGGGCTGGGGAGGAGGGGACACGACCCCGCAAGCTCCAACAGCCACCAAACACCAAGCACCCTCCGCCCAAAACCGCTCTCCGTACAGACGACTGTGTCCCACGGCCCCCTCCCCGGGATTCGGGACGTAGAAAACGGGACAGTGAGTGTGGAAACCCCACAGGCTTTCCGTGACGAGGCCGTGGTCATCCACGGGCAGGAGCAGGGCGCCCTTCAGGGCAGGCCCCTCGGGGAAGCTCCTGTGTCCACGGGAGCCAGAGCCTCAGAAATGCTGGGCCCGAGGGCCAGCTTCACTTTCATAAAATCCCTGCAAGTGTCCATGTTTACAAAACAGTGAAATCCGTAAAGTCAATGGCGATGTGCTTCTCGTTTGCGATCATTAATTAAAATTTTTTAGTACCAGCTGCCAGTACAGAACTCCACACTGAGTGTAAGAAATGAATCATAATTTCTGAAAATCCTTACTAAGATATTTTAACAAAAAGACACTCATTGAAGTAACAGTCGGGCAAAATCTAGACTTACTTTTCACACAATTCCAGTCTGGTGAAGTCAGTGATTTTGACAGGTAAGATGAAAACCTCCTAACTCTAACTATCTCTTCCTTACATCCTTAACTGGGTACCCTCGCTAAGGAGCAGCTAAAAAGGAAGACGGGCTTGCTTCTGTTACTGGAGAGGCTGCGGGTTAGGGCGCTGGGGTGGGAAGAGGAAAGTGGGGATCGAGCAGACACAAGCGAGAGGAAATGGCCCCTGGTCTCCCTGAACGCAGAGCCTCACTGCCCGGGTATCTTCCGGCCACAGAAGCACAGCTCTCAGGGGAAGGAGGGGGTCCCACGGGCAGAGAACAGGCTCGTTACTTTGTGGCTGGACTCCCCATCCAGGCTGGCGGTGGTCACGTGGCAGGTCCCGTCCGCACGGCTGCTGGACAGGAAGATCAGGTCACAGGGGAAGGTCTCGTCCTCCTTGACCATGACGACGTCCCCGACCTGCAGGACAGATGACAGACAGCTGTGAGTCGAAACCGGTCTCTGGGCGGCGGCTCCCACGGACGCCATCACAGCGTCACTGGCAGGAAAGTGTGTGGATGTTAACATGGCCAAGAAGGGTCGCTTCTGGAGCAAGTGGCCCAAACCCAGGAGAGACCAGGTAGGTCAACGCACCACTGGACGCTTAGACCTGGACGCTTAGACCTGGACGCTCCACAGGGCATGATGACAGAATATTCTGCAACACTCTATTTTGCAATGATAGAAGTATTTTGCAATGATAGAAGTATTTTGCAATATCTGAACTCCATCCAGGAGGACGAGGTGAGCAGCCACCCCGTGGGCGTGAAGCCTGGGACGTGGCTGCAGTAAAGAGGGCTGTGTGGTTCCAGCGGAGGATTGGCACAGACCATCGGCCAGACTGGACTTAACCGGCTTTGAACAAAGTGCAAGAGCCACTCAGTGGAGGAGGGGCAGCCTTCCCACAGACAAGGCTGGAGCGCACGGGCAGTCCTGGGCAAAAAGGGCTTTCACGTAAAAAGTAACACAAAACCGACAAGGAACTTAATCTAGAACTATAAAAACTTTAAGGAAAAAAAAACCCAGGAGAAAGTCTTTGGCCACCAGGCCTTGGCAAAGAGTTCTTAACTTGACACTAAAAGCACCATCCACACAAGGAAAAGTCAGTGAACTGGACTTCATCAAAATGAAGAGCTTCTGCTTAGTGAAATACCTCATTAAGGTATTTCTGGCAGAGGACTAGCATCTAGAATATGGGAACTCTCAACATTCCACAGTAAAATCCCTCAATGAACCAAGCAGGAAGCGGGCTAGGGCCACAAATCCTAAACCAGTCAATCCTAAAGGAAATCAACCCTGAATATTCATTGGAAGGACTGAAGCTGAAGCTCCAATACTTTGGCCAACTGATGCAAAGAGCTGACTCATTGGAAAAGACCCTGATGCTGGGAAAGATTGAAGGCGGGAGGAGAAGGGGGTGACAGAGGATGAGATGGTTGGATGGCATCACCGACTCAATGGACATGAGTTTGGGTAAACTCTGGGAGTTGGTGATGGACAGGGAAGCCTGGTGTGCTGCAGTCCATGGGGTTGCAGAGAGTCAGACACGACTGAGCGACTGAACTGAACTGAATGACACACCAGAGAAAAAGAAGTGTTCTGGGCAGAAGGAACACTTGCTGAGAGAGTGAAGCACGGGGAGCGTGGTGTGCTGCAGCCCGTGGGATCACGAAGAGCTGGACCTGAGTTAGGGACCAAACAGCAACAACAGCCACGAGCAGATGTCTCATGAAGAAGATGCCCTGTGGCAAACAGGCAGCCGTGAGACGCTCGCAGCCAGCAGGGAGGCGCGTGCGTAAACCACACGGAGAATCAGGACCACGGAGGCGAGAAGCAGAGACCACACCGAACACTGCTGGGGATGCTGAGATGCAGAGCTGGTGGGAACACAGCAGGGCAGGCTCTCCGGGAAACGGCTGGGCTGCTCCTTTTCAACTAAGATGGGATTGCCCACGACGACCCAGCAACTGAGCTCCTAACTTTTATACCAGAGAAATAGAAACTATATTCAGATCCAAAACCTCTACACAGACGCTCACAGCAGCTTTACTCGTCATGGCCCCGACCTGGAGAAACACCCCCCACCTGGTCCACCCCCTACGGACTCTGCAAGGAAAGAAAGGCGTGCAGATGCCCATCCTGGGCAAGCCCCAAGGGGCTTCGACTGTGAGAGGAAACCCAGCCGGAAGGTAGAGGCTATGTGACTCCATCTACGCAGACACATCCTGGAGCTGGACCCACCTATCGCCCAGTTCCCTGAGACCGTAAACCTGCTCTACAGTTGATCCCAGCTTTAAAAATTGACCCACAGAAGAAAGAGGTTTAAAACAGTGGTAGGAGCTCGCCTGAAGGGAGCAGTGCTTGGGGAACAGGGCGGTCTGCACCCAGCAACTGAAGCAACCTCAGATGGAAGTTTTGCCAAAGGAAGGACGGCCGCGGGCGGCGGGCACTCACCCGGAGCTTCCGGCTCTGCTTCCGCACCAGCCGGCCGTGCTGCACGAAGTGCACGGCGCACTGGTTCATGGCGTTGTCCGCCTTGTGGCGCAGCCAGTCCTCGTAGCCCTGCCAGGACCCGGAGAGACGCCCGTGAGCCCCCGGCCTGCCCCGGCCGGGCGGCCACGCTCAAGGGCTGCTCTGTGCCCGGGGAGGCCGGGCGGCGGTCCCAGGGAAGGGGCTCTCCACACGGAGAGGGGACAGGACGCCCAGCAGGGCAGAGGGGGACGCGGGCGGGTGGCCCTGGAGCTGGGGCTCGGCCCGGAGGACCGCAGGGCAACACGCAGGCGGGGGGCTGGCAGGGCCGCAGCGTGGCCGAGGGCCAGGTGGTCGGGAAGGGCACAGCCCCGAATCCGCCACCTCCTCAAGCCCTTTGGGGCTGCTGGGCCGTGGCCCCGGGTGGAGCCAGGGCAGACCCGGCTGCGGAGAGCAGCGCCCCCACCCGCCTGGCACCACGTCCTGGCCGAGGTGCCGGGCAGGTCTCACCCCCGGGAGCCGCTGCCACTGCCCTCTGCTGGGCAGCTGCACGCCCCCCACCCCCAGGAGCCATGGCCGCAGGGCAGGACGCTCCAGGGCACCCCGTCAGTGACGGGGACGCCCCCCGTGCAGCGTCCAGGGGCCCCGCGCCGTGGTCAGGGTGCTCTCGGCACGGCTCCGTGCTCTTTCGGCTCTGACGGCACCACGGCCTCGGGGCAGAGCCCGCTCAGCTCAGGACTGGGGTCTCCAGCCCCCCGGCCTGTCTCTCGGGGGCTCACACAGGATGCATCAAGTGCACAGACCCGGCTCCACCTGTGACACGGCCGCTGCATGCAGACACGCCACACGCTCCCCACGGTGGCCCGACACGCCCCGTCAGTGCGTGTGGATCCCTGCAGGGCCACATGCTCATTCCACCTGCTCTTCACACTTCTACATTCAAAGCCGATTTCATGGGCAACAGGTCAAATCATATCGCCGTTCAAATCTCCACGTGCAGATCTCCGGCGAGTGGAAGACAAAACCCAGACGATCACAAAGGAAGCCTTCGATGCCGCTCCCGTTCTGGATCAAACACTGAGCAGTCCAGACGCTCTCACCGTGGAGACCGGCAGAAGCACTGGCCTCACACTCACGAAGGTCGCCCCGAGACTCGGCTGTTCACGTTCTCTCGGTCGGGAGGAGTCGCTCTGCCGCGCATTCCCGTCACTCGGGGGCAGCCCGTACACCACGTCTCCTGTGACGTGTCTTCAGAGCTTTTATTTTTTATTTAGAGACTAACAGAAAGCATGGCTTTGTCAGCAACAATGTGACCACCAAGAATTTAGACGCTCCCTTTCAGGAATTATTTCAATGCAAATACCATTGTGTCCAAAAGTTTGCAGCAGATGAGGGACCTGCATCTGGAACATACAAATTGCCTCGGGGATAAGACACAATCCAATTTAAAAATGGGCCAATGACTTGAAGGTATTTCTCGAAAGAAAATTTACAAAAGGCCAATAAGCTCATGACAAGATGCCCNCTTTCAGGAATTATTTCAATGCAAATACCATTGTGTCCAAAAGTTTGCAGCAGATGAGGGACCTGCATCTGGAACATACAAATTGCCTCGGGGATAAGACACAATCCAATTTAAAAATGGGCCAATGACTTGAAGGTATTTCTCGAAAGAAAATTTACAAAAGGCCAATAAGCTCATGACAAGATGCCCAGCATCGTTATTTACGAAGGAAATGCAAAACCACAGTCGGTACCACTTCACCTCCACTAGGATGAGTGTAACAAGGAAGATGACAACAGGCCTCAGCAGGAACGTGGAGAAAATGGAAACTCACGCACGGCTGGTGGGAAGGTCAAACGCCGCGGTCACTTTGGAGAATACTTTCAATACTAGAGCGACTCTAGTCCTCTGTATGTGCGCAGGGGAACCGAAAAGCTATGTCCACACAAAGCTTCCATGTGACGCTTCATAACAGTGTTTCCCGGAAGAGCCAGAGCAGCAGAAGCACCCAGATGTCCATCAGTGGATGCTGGATAAATAAACTGTGGTCTGTCTGCATGATGGAGTATTAGTCATCTATGAGCCCGTCACTGACACACGCCACGAGTGGATAAATCTTGAAAACATGCTCAGTGAAATAAGCCAGACACAAAAGTTCACCTAGGTAAGATTCTGTTAATACAACGCCCAGGGTAGGCTGAAAGCCGAGTGGCGGTCGCCAGGAGCTGGGGCCGGAGGAGGGGGGTGGACAGTGAGGCTCTTGGCTTTCTTCCAAGACGGTGGGAGCTGAACAGAGCTGACGGTGAAGCACTAACCAGCCACCAGGGAACGGATCGTGGGAACAGCAGGCGAACGGTTCTCCCGTCAGTCACTGGCTCATCAGTCAGGGATGCAGAGCACGGCAGGACCCCCACTGAGTCAGGAGTCACGCTCAGACCCTCTGCCGGAGCGAGTGCTCGGGGCCCGGCAGCGGGGGCGCAGCGGGCAAGCACCTCGGGCCAGCTCCACGCGCTCAGCGTGAGAACAGGCCCTCCTCGCACCCTCAGGGCAGCAAATGAGCACTGCATTATACCACCTCCCGTGTTTCAACTCAGGAATCCACCTAAACCACTTACAAACGTGACCTTTCAGGGGTGAGTGGAACGTCTCGTGAACTGGCTGAAACAAGCCAGGAGGCTCTGCTTTGGATGACAGGCGGCCCCCCGTGGCAGACACTCTGTGGGACCCTGCTCCCGTCTGCCTGCATCTCCCAAGCTCACCTGCTTGATGGCTGTGACCGTGATGACGAAGAACAGCGGGAGACCACTCGTCACCGGACTCGTGGGCGTATCGATAATCAGCTGCAAGGAAGAGAGGGTGGTGGAGTCACCTTCAGAGGCGCTTCTGAGGGGCTCTAGATGGACTGGTTGGCCCTGGACACCTCCTGCGTCCACTCGGACTCATGGTGGTTCACTTGGCTGTTACCCCACCCTGTCCCACCACCGGAGACACATGATACGAGGTAAACGGTCCCAGTTTACTACAGAGCTGAGGGCGGTTCTCCTCATTACGGGCTGTGTCAGCAGCGGCGACCCTGGCTGACTCCAGCGCACGCGTTGTTTCAGTTCACTCTCTGCTTCTGGCGCCACACTTTGACTACATTATTTGCATAAATTACTGTGGGGGAAATGTTTTAAAGTCCTTCCACTGTATTTTGTCTGACTGAGACACGTTAGGCTGCTGGTCTGAAAGCACATCTGACCTGTTTCCTGATCCACACCTCACGACGGTTTCCACTTTCTTTTTTTAACTCTCGTTCTTTTAATGTTTTTTTAAGGAGCATCCACATGATTTAGGGAGATAGTGAAGGACAGGGAAGTACAGTTCATGGGGTCGCAGAGCTGGACACAGCCAAGTGACTGAACAACAAGACATCGTGATTTGGGGATAAGTGGAATAACGTGGAGCTTAGGAAGTCCCCCTAAAGGTTAGGGGGCTCCTGGCCTCCTGTCAGGACTGGAGGGTGAGGGCAGAAGGCAGCCGGACCCGCGCGCACGCACGGTGCTCACACCCGTGTTCTAGTGAACAGGTCTCTCTGAACCAAAATGCTTGTCCTTGAAGAAAGCAGGTGACGGGTCTGCAGATAAAGGGGCGCCAAGTCTGTGCTCCTCTTTATCAGCGAACCAGTCAATCATCCAAGAGTAAATGTCACTTATTTATATTTACATTAGGGGCAACAGGAAGAGGGGACCAGCCTTACCTGAACCAGGAATATGATAAGAAAATAAAAGTTGGCTATTCTTCTGAATTGTTCAAACAAGTTCTTGGGTATGAAGTTCCAAAATGTGTACTGCAGAAGAGAGAAACACAGCGGGGTCATTTGGGTCACACTTCACACTGGGCCGTGTTATTCTGAGACATGACAGGCAGGTCTGCATTTCAAAGTAAAAAATGACTGGTTTTGATACAAAACAAAGCTGAGTGTTTGTAGACATTTCATCAACTTGTTGACCGTACAAAGAAACTCCCAACACAGAACACGGACTCCAAAGCAGCGTATTTGAATCACCCAGTCCCAGATAATTCATGGTGATGCACGGGAGCTTAGGAAGAGCATCACTGCCAGAATGTCTGGGTTCTGCCCTTTCTGTCTATAAAGTGATTAAAAGAGCAGCGTGTACCAAGGACGTCTCTGACGGTCCAGCGGTTAGGACTTGGAGCTTTCACTGCAGGGAGTGTGGGTTCAGTCCCTGGCCAGAGATCAAAGATCCCACATGCCACAAAGCAAGACCAAAAGAAAAAATAAAAGAATAGTATGTGCCTTAAAGGAATGTGATGAGAACTGAAGTTCTGGCTTAAACTGGTCTCAGAAAAGACAGGGATGTTGAGATTCTATAACTTGAGAAAAAGCACAGACAAGTCAATCTTTGTAAGTGCTTGAGAGAGATGTATTTTGTCTTAAGTGGGCCATTAAGGAGGGGTTCCCTGGTAGCTCGGCTGGTAAAGAATCTGCCTGCAGTGGAGGAGACCCTGGTTTGACTCCTGGGTCAGCAAGATCCCCTGGAGAAGAGATAGGCTACCCACTCCAGCGTTCTTGGGCATAAGGAAATTATTTTTCACTAACTTTAAAAAGGAGTTATTAAAAGAAATATAAGATATGCCACACCACAGCATTTGTGTCTCACTTTTGTGACTCTGTGACCAACCTAGAATGATCTTTCAGTCTTTATATGCTCCCTTCCAAGAGATCCCAATGCCAAAGTGGATTGTCCTCAAGGCCCCATCCGGTGAAGCCCACCCTGTCTCCAGGACCCAGACCAGCATACTCACCACCCAGAAGTCAGAACACGACCCCACCTCTAACAAACCACTCAGTGCAAATCCCCATCTTTTATCTGCTGAAATGTTTATAGATGGAAGTTGTACATTGTTTAGGATTTGCTTCAAAATGGTCTCAAGGTAGAAAAGAGACGCACAGACGCACACACGGGGCCACCTGCTGATGCGCGCAGACAGCGGGTGGCCGGGCACAGACGTTCGCTGCCCTCCTTCCCTTCTTCTCCTACGTGTCTGCGAGTTTCCACCTTATAAAGCACCATGTAGTTATTACAGAAGGCATCTTCTACCATCCTTCCAAACGTGCAGATCAGTCTTAATCTATTTTAATGCTACTATTTCAGGACGCCCTTTCCGTTTTCTAAGTCCTAGTCTGCCAGGGAAGTGCACAGATATGGAATCTAAAACCACCTAAATGATCACTTGATTCCTACCGGGTGCAGGAGGCTTGTGCTGCAGCTTAGGCGTTATGTTTTATGATCCACATACTTTAAGGAATAAATGACCATCACAAGTTATTACTGCTGATTATCAGTAATATGGTGGGAAACGGGTTGCTAATCTCTGACAATGTACAGCATGAAAACTGAAAATCCAGTGAGATAGTTTAAACAGTCAGGACTGCACTAATTATCAGTACTGCATGGATAAAATAAAACGAGCTCTTTACTGCACATATGAGAGCTGGCAAATAGATAATAGTGGGCCAACCGTACATTTCTGATGCCTGCTAAGTTGTAATGATCTAAATACTTGCTCAGACACTTGGGCCACAATACAAGGTAATACTTTGTATAACAGGCACAGTGTAGCGCTCTGACCTACATCCGTCTGTCAGGTCCTGCCTTCCGCTGATACCATCAGTAGGACAGAACCTAACACCGGAGCCCTCGGTACTGAACCCCAGAGCAGGACAGCATGGAACAGAGCCAGTACTTTCCTGCTGCGCTGGAGCTGAGATGTCTGAGGTGGGAGGAGCATCGCTCTCCCATCAGACAACTCGGGGAGTGCGGAGTGCAGGGCACAACCCCCGCCTCATGTCCCGTTCACACCCCAGCCCGGGCGTGCGTCCGCACCAGGCCTGTGTCGTCAGCCCCAAGCTGGTCCCGGCCACGCTCACCCCTCTGTGAGGGTCTGTCCTCACCGTGGGCGTCCCCCCTGGTTTCTGTCCTCACCATGGGCTCCCTCCCCTCCGGGTTCTGTCCTCACCATGGGCTCCCCTCCCCCCTGGTTCTGTCCTCACCATGGGCTCCCCTCCCCCCTGGTTCTGTCCTCACCATGGGCTCCCGCCCCGGATTCTGTCTTCACCATGGGCTCCCTCTGTTCCCCCCCCGCCAGGTTCTGTCCTCACCGTGGGCTGGAGGGGGCCCAGGCACAGAGAAGCAGCCCCGCCTGGCTGCCCCCTCCTTGCGTGGCCCCAGGGAGACACGGAAGGCCTGGCGCCACTCTGCTTCACTGGCCACGGAGAGGAAACCCAGAGCGTCGGGAAACCGGTGAGGCCGTGGCCATTTGTACCTTGCAGGACTCCGGCACAGGTGCACTCGGGTGCCCTAAAAACCCATGCTCTCCCGGGAAGGCAAGCCCGGCGGTCTCAGAGTTCAGTTTCTGTACGGAGAGGAGACCGCACAGCCTGAGCTGGATATTTACTTCTGTGGCGACTGAGGGCAGCGCCGGGAGCCACACGCATTGTGTGCCCAAAGCACATGTTGCGAACTGGTGACGTCCCATCATCCCGAGTCTGCGGCAGGGGGTGGGCAGCTGAGGTTCGAGAAGGCCCTGGCTGGGAGGCTCAGTGTGAGGTCAGAATCAAAGGGAAGGGATCACACATTTAGGGTCATTTCTTATTTTTCCTTCTTGTACCATGTTCTGCTCAAAAGGGGACAGAACATGGATCAAACACTGATCACCAATAACAGAACAGGCTGGAAATTTAACTTAGAGAGCATAGGTGTTTGTTCACTTAAGGAATCATTGTTGACAGTCTTTTAAGGTAGAAATGAACATTTTCTTTCCAAGAAAACATAGATACACCAACATAGTCTCCAAATCTCTTTGCAAATTTATTTCTTACAATCTAAGCGATTCATGGGGTCGCAAAGAGTCAGACACAACTGAGCGACTGATCTGAACTGAACTGAACTGAACTGGAGCTGTATTTTCCACATTCTGAGCTATTTTTAAATGAAAACAATCGTGTGTCTCGCCTTCAGCATCAGCCGGTCTAAATCCACAGACATCCACCGCTGTTGACTCAGGCCCCAGGTCCCCGTCCCGGGGCCTCCTCTGGACAAGTCCAGCCAGCACCTGGGGTCACAGGCTGGTGGCACTGGCGACCCCTATGCCGTCTGTTCTGCAGAGGAGGGCGCTCTAGCCTGGCGCGTGCCTGGCAGGTGGCCAGAGAGCTGAGAAGTGGCGCCAGGAGGATCTGAACCCTAGACTTGAAATCTGACACTTAAACACGATACAGTTAGCAGGGAAGTGAGGAGGAAGTGCTGTGACACCTCGTCTTAACAGTGTTTTGGGGGGTAACCGGGGGGTTGGGTGATGAGTGTGCAGCCTGGCTACTCAGGGGCGGGTGGTCCCCGCTTCATGGGGTTCTGAGTGCCCGAGGAGCCACGTGGGGGAGTCCCGGGCAGATGCTCACCTTGGAGGAGACGATCCTGTTGTCCGGGTACCTCTGGGGGATGTAGGCCTCGGCGCCTGGCGGGGGCTCCCGGCGGCCCACATAGACCGTCCGGCTGTCCACCCAGTCCTCCTCCCCGGCACACTGCGGGAGGGAAACAGAGCTGTCAGTGTGGGTGGGGCCCGGGGGCAAGGTATTCCCACGGTTGGCTTTGATGCTGGTCTCTGTGGGGGCCAGGGAGGGCTGGAACCCTTGCAAGGTCGATCCCCACTCCCCACCTCCACCCCAGTGCCCACCCATGCCCCTGGGCCCCTCAGGAGCCTATGCTCCCCCCATCCCCAGCTCTTCAAGGAAGCGCCACCTGCACCCCACTGGAGCTGAGAGGGCCTGCAAAGCTCAGTGGGAATGACACGGCGGGTCCATTAAAAAGTGACAGTGAAGCCCTAAGGCTCCCAAAGAGAAAAGACAGCGAGTGGTCCTAGGATGTGGGGAAAGGTCTCTAAGAAGAGGAGACTGTAAAACTGTGAGCTCAGACCAGAGGGTCTCTCCGCCCCTGAACAATCGCATGGACAAGACTTCCTAGAATGCAGACGACCCGCGTCTGACCCACGTCTGCATTATTCCGAGATCTGTGCACCAGACCTTCAGGGAAGAGCCCCGCCCAGGAGAGCCTTCCAGAACATGCAGCTGACTGTGTGCGGGCGGCCCTGAGCGCCCGGGACCCTGCAGCCCAGGAGACTACAGTGCAGCCTTGGGTTGCAGGGCGGGGCCTGGACCCCCCCAGACAGGGAGCTCCAGCTCAGGGCTCTGCCACCTCCCCCCAGACAGGCAGCCCCAGTTCAGAGGGAGTCCGCAGGGAGCAAGTCAGAAGGAGGTTTCTCAAGGCCGGTTCCCTCCCTGGGCACAGGCTGCTTTTAGTGTGATCACTGGACGCCTCGAATACAGCTCCTTGGTGCTGCCCTAACCGTACAGGTCGGGGCACCATTCCTGCTCGTGGAACGAGGTCAGGAAGCGAGCCCTGCACTCCTCGCCCCCCTGCAACACAAGCTCCTCCGGGAGGAGCCTCGTACCAACCAACTCAGCCCCGTACGAGAGAGGGAGCCTTGGCGCTGGCCCCTGAGGAGAGAAACGGGAGCAACAGACAGCCCCCGGGGGCCCTGGCAGCTCCCCGAGTCCCTGAACAGGTCACAGCTCAAGGGACGGAGCGGCGTTGGGGGCCTCGCGCTCGACGGTCAGGCTGCAGCAGTGCCCACGGAGGGTGCCCCCTGAGGTCACAGCAGCTGATGAGCCTCAAGGCAAGACAGGCCGTTTCAGATCAGTCCCCCGGGAGCCCCGTGTGTGGCAGAGGCATCAACGTGCAGACCCTACGTGGGTTAAACTCAGCTCAGAAGGCAGAGAGAAGACAGCAGACAGGAGGCCCGGGAGCGCCTGTCCACCGCGGTTCTGCACGTGCCGCCTGCCACCGTGTGCGCCCTGATGCACGCGGACAGCTGTGTGCCCCTGGATGGGCCGCTCGGCGTCTCTGTGTCCAACCCGCCCAGGAGTAACACGAAGGGATTCTGGTGTCTGCAGGCTCAGCAATGAAAACAGACTTGGCCTCTTAAGCAACTTCTTAACCCCGCCTGTTGTAAGCCAAACAGTAACCACAGTGTACGGGTGACGCATACCAGAGGAAGTCAGCCCACACGAAGCTCTGTGATGAGTCACGGCTGATCACGGAATCTCCTGGGGCCGGGCGACAGAGAGGTCAGCGACAAGAGGGAGCGGGGCCTGATTTCAAGACGTCCGGCATCTCGTTTTACAACAGGCAGCGTAAGGAACAGGCCGGTGTCGGCAGTTTTTGAAAGTAGACTTCTAGGACTAAACCTGGGTGAAATTAGCTTCCGTGGAAGTTGAATTCACACGCGGATCACAGCAGGACCGCTCAGCCTGAGCTCTGGGCCCAGAGCCCTGGCAGGCTGGGACTGTCAGCTGGCTGAGAACATACACCCCTTCCCTCCAGAGGAGGCAGGGAGGTGGGTGGGATCCGGCCTCACAGATTCCCACGTTCCTGGGTAGTCACACGACGTCCCGCCAGGACGCAGGTGAGCTGGAGGCCCAGGCTTTGCCTGCACAGCCCCAGGGGACGCCCCACAAGATACTTGCGAGTCATGTCTGCTGGGGAATTGGTACCTGGGATAGACCGGCCACCACAGCCAATAATGTGGGCAAGGAAGGAGGGGGATGTGACTGGACGTTTCTCCAAGAGCTTCAGTGGCCAACGGCACGTGGAAAGACACTCAAAATCCACAGCCCTCAGGGAACGGCTGGGGCTACACACGGAGGACCAAACACGATCCGTGTACGTGGCATGTCTGAAACCGGCAGCTCCCTGGAGACAGACACAGCGCCGTGGGTCCCTGCCAGGGGCCAGGGAGGCTGCCCCTCGGGTACTGAGTCTCTTCCAGGAAATGAAGATGTTTTAATAGTAGATCATGGTGGTGCTCCATAACCTGGTAAATGCACTGAAGAACACTGAGTGAGACTTCCCGAACAGGAAGATTTTAGGATCTGGTAACTTCATTTCAGTAAAGCGGTCCCTTAGGCCCCCACAGGTTCCTGGGTCCCGAGCATCGCCCATCACGTTTCGAGTTGGTGCAGAGACCCCGTCTAGGGTCAGTGCAGAGAACCTCATGCCTCTGAAGCCTCTTCCACCCCGTCCTCTCACTGCTGTGCCACCAGAACGCGAGGTGCTTTCCATTTCAGGGAAAACAAGGAACATCTTTCAGGCTGGTTTTTCAGTAGACAGCATTTCCTAGTGGATAAAACTGAGCTCGACGGACTTCCCAAGGAGAACAGCTAAGATTGGAGAAACGCAAAAAGAAACAATCACTGCAAGGCAGGATGGGATGAACACAGCTGCCAAGCACCCCGGCTCTCTGGGCCTGGGCCGAGAAAACACCCCACTCCCAGGGCTCTCGCAGGGCGTCAGCCCCGCAGGTGCGGGGGCCGGGCTCCTGCCTGGACCTCGGGGCCCAGCAGTGACGGTGGGACTCCTGCCTGGACCGCGGGGCCCAGCAGTGACAGGGGGGCTCCTGCCGGGACCGCGGGGCCCAGCAGTGACGGTGGGGCTCCTGCCGGGACCGCGGGGCCCAGCAGTGACGGTGGGGCTCCTGCCGGGACCGCGGGGCCCAGCAGTGACGGTGGGAGGGAGTCGCAGACACGCCCTGTGCAAATGCTATCCCACCATCTCTGCCAACTCGATGCTTCTGGACTTGGAACGCACCCCCCAACCCCAAAAGTGGCTAAAGGGCCAGAGGAAGCAAGTGCGGGCAGCGGTCTCACCCTCACCGACCTTGCAATAGGTCATGTTAGGATCTGGGTGCGGCAGCCTGAGCCTTCAAGTCAGAAAGCTCACAAGGACGGAAGAGAGTCTGAAAGGCACGGAAAATCAATCTCGGCCAGCGGCCGTCACTAATGGAAGTTTCGAATTTCAGCTGAAACAAACAACCTATTAGCCGAATTACACGGCCGGACCAGAACCAAAGCATGTAACCTAGCCTCAATTCACCAGATCAGCTTTTGCAGAGGTGGTTCCCCCAACAACCGTTTTCAGGGATAAACGACAAAGCAATTGCTTGTCCCGTGGTCCGTTTTCAGCTTTAACAGCCAACACTTCTCGTTCGACGGGTACGGAGGCGTTTCTGAACACCGGCATCTCCCACTCACGTCCCCGGCGCTCCGGCTTCTCTGGCGAGTGTGTGGCGTGGCCCCGCTGTCTCCAGCGCCCACACGCCACAGCACGGGGCGTCCGTCCACCCAGGGTGCGCCCACTGTCCTCTGTGAACCTCCTCGGGGTCAGTGACTAAGAGCACGCCCTGTGAGCTGGTCAGATCAGAGTCCTCGGCATGAATCACCAGCCTTCCTGGGGTCTGTGAGTGGAGTCGGACCCCCGGTGGGGAGGCAGAGACCCAGGGGCCCCCATCACTGGACCTGCACCCTCGGCCCCTGCGGGAGCCCTCCTCCCCTCCACTGGCCACGCTCAGTGGGAAAGACAGCCCCTTCCTCCCCAGGAAAACGGCAGCCCACTCCAGTATTCTGGCCTGGGGAACCCCATGGACAGAGGAGCCTGGCGGGCTACGGCTCATGGGGTTGCCAAGAGTCAGACACGACTGAGCAACGGAGTTTTTTCTCCTCAGGCAAATTCTCGGCCTCTGCGGAGCACTCAGTGGCATCTTTCTGCCGAGAACGTATTATTAAACACAGAATCAGCTGGATCGCAGAAGCGCCATGACGGTCCACTTCACTTGGCAACACTGACCACCTGGAAAATGGTAAACGCTGCCAACCTAGACCGTAATTTACTGGGTCCAGAACCAAAATTAAAATAAAACTTTTAGCCACAGATGACCCTGGGATGCCCTAGGCTCTCCCAGTCTCACAGTTACAGGCACCAGAGCCCCGTGCTGGGGCGCCCGGCGGGAGGCAGGGAGCGGGGAGGATGGACGGGGCACTGGCCGCCGCTGCCTGGCCCCGGTGAAACGCACAGCAGCAGAGAAGCCCGTGACAACGGTGTTTCCAGACGAGACTGCGTATGAAGCTGCTGAAATTACTCCCTGGGCTTCAGTGTGAGACTGGCAGAGGTGACCACGGGGGTCTCCTGCAGTGACCCTCGCAAGGCTCATCCTCAGTGCCTGTGCAGAGATGGAGCCTCGTCCCCGGCCCTGGGCGGAGGGGGGGGTCAGCCCTCCCCACAGGGGACGCAGCTTCTAGCTGAACTCACTCACCTGTGGGTCACCTGTTGCCACCTGTCCCATGGGGACCACACAGGCCTGGCTCCCTGGAAAGCAGGCTGAGGTGGGTCCCCTGGATACTGGCTGGGGAGGCGGGGCGCCCCTGCCTGTTGGGGGGCGGCCTCTGTACCAGGTACGGGGCCAGTATCCCCACATCGAAGTCAGGAAATGGCCCTACAAGCAACAAGTCCAGCCTAAAGCTGGGGGCGGGGAGCAAGATGGGCCAAGTGACCAGGCGGTGAAACAAGAGAGCTCTAAGACAGAGACGAGGCTTACGCCCACGGAGGAAGAACCTCACCCTTCGGTCTCAGCAGAGAGCTCGCTCCCCTGCCCGGCTGTCCGAGGGGACCCAGCTTGGCGCCGGCGCATCGGGGAGACTGTGACAGCCGCTCCAGCCCCACTGCCCGGCCGTCGGCCACTGCTGCCCAAGCCCTCAGCTCCTACCCCGGACAGAAAGGGCATGGAGGCCTGAGTCACCGAGCAGATAATTGCTGCCCTGAGCCGGAGGCCAGGGCTCCCATGATCGGAAGCATAGCACAGTGACCCCGTGTCCCCTCGAGCTTGGGGGTGGGGGCAGGTCAGAGGCTGGACGGCCCCGCGCTGGAGGGGCTCTGCTGGTGCTGGCGGGGGCGTCTGTGAAGAAGGGACCAAAAAGGGCACCGAGGCACGGGTCCCCAGGAGGCGGGGAGCCGCCGGGCAGCCTGGCAGAGTCCCGTCCGGTTCCCACCCTCGCCCCTGCCCAGCGAGGCTCAGCGGGAGGGGGCTCCTCTCCGGATGCGCCCCCTGGAAACCGCCCGTTCGTGATGGAAACCCATCCTGGTATGTCGCCAGCTGATCACGAGACGA